ATCTCAGACTCAGGGTTGTATACCAATCAAGTCGATTGAATTGATTGATTTGTTTCAACGCGTATTTTGAGTTGATTGGATTGAGTCGATTGACTTTTCGAGATGACTGGTTGACTGACTCGTTTGACTTTAGCGACTGGTTGACTGATTTGATTCCCGAAAATTAGAGTGACTCGTATGATTGAGTGGATTGAATGGAAAGTTCAAATAACTTTTAGTTGACGAAAAATAATGACACCAATTGATGACATCAAAGATCACAAAACTACACTGAAAACTGCTTGTCATCACAACTGCAATATGGGGTAGATGGCCAACTAAAGAACAGGGCCTAAACATGAACAGCCAACTTTGACTTTCAACTGCAATAACATGCTCCAATCCTATTATCCTGGTGATAGAACCTGGCGATGCACCTACCTACCTTTCTGCATTCGGCAGGAAACTTTTTTTAATCCAGATGATAAAGTGCAAGGCCCTATATACTAATAAAGTGTGATTAATTAATAATTCACATCTCCACGACCACATCTCCTCAAGAAACAACCCACTGAACTCTATAAATATATGAAACCCCTACAAAAATAACTGAAACAAAAGCACCGTTTTCGTCTCGCTAATTACGTCTACTACGTACCTAATTAATAGCTAATTTGCTGCATTGTTTAATTTGCAGCAGAACGTTTGTTGATCCTTTTCTTCTGGGAGCCTAAGCATAACATATTTAATATATTTTATTTTCCTTAAAATAGTTTACCGAATATTATTAAGTGGTTTTATTTCAAATGAAATAATAATTAAAACGAAATTGGTGTTCTACAACCGATTTATTTTATGATGATCTACCATACAACATGATAATCAATGACGTCATCTTATTAAAAAAATCAAATGACGTAGAATAAGGATTTATAAAAGCTTAGCATATTTATTGGCAAAACGTTTTCTTTGTTTCCTACTGCAATTTATCAACTTTATTTCATAAATGTACCAGATTTATCACCGGCTATATTGATGAGGAAAGGAAGGAATGATAGACCTACCTCACAGGTACCTAGGTATCTACCTTCGTTGGTACTGTTGGTAGCCAGTGACACATCTAGGCAGGTAAGTAGGTACCTACCTGCTCTCCTGCTGTCTTCATAAAGCATACCTAATGAAGTTGTCAAATTTGTAGCACATTTTCAACACTTTCATATGGTGTCAGTGTGGCATGAAACCTAGCTAGGTTCATTATGTTCAGGATTCATTTCAGAAGAGCTCCGCATAACTCACATAAGAGACAGACGGGCTTTACATGGGGTTAGATGGCCTGATGACTTAGCTGGAATATGGCCAAAATTAAATTGACAACTTTTAGGTGAAAGGTGGTGATTTGGGTTAATGGGCGAGTCAACTACTGGGTTATTTTGCACCCATTAAATGAAACTTCTGCTCCAATTCTACCCATTGAAACTCAATATCATGATCCACCTGTCCATCACTAGGTATCCTTCCTTATTACATAGAAAGTTTGAATGGCATGGCAATTTATAATTTCAAATGACAATATTTTTATGTTTCTTCTGTAGGTAGGTAGGTACACCAGGCTGCTATGGACACTTTTCCAAGTTGGTGGGGCAAAAAACCTAATGTATGTCTTGGTTTGAGTCGTTTGATTGAGTTGATTGATTCCTTTCATTGTCGCGTTTGAGTCGATTGAATCAATTCCCGAAAACTGCTCTGACTTGATTGATTTGATTGGTTTCCCAAATTTGTCGCGATTGAATTGATTGCTATTGATTGAGTCGTATACAACCCTGCTCAGACTCATCCGAGGCACTGTGCGCGTAGCATGACTATCAGTTTCTGGACGACCGTCCCCATAAGAAAAGAAGGTCAAACAGTTTACAGACTACTTCAAACAGAAAAAAATTACGAAACAGAAATTTGGCAGCGTTTTTTGTGATTATTGCAGTTCATGTTTACATTATTTGCTTTTCTACTGTCCTTCAATTTCTCCTATTTACTGACTATGATAAAAAGTTGGTTTATAATTTTTTAGTAACATACAGGTCCTACACCTTATAATTTGTTTCGCTATTTTGTATCGTTCTCCACGTGCATTCCTCCATAGAAATATTAGGTAAAGGATCACATGTGGCCCACCCCTGCGTTTCATCGGATGAATTCGGTGGCTGCTTTACTCGAGATTCACATTACTTTTTGTCTACATACTTTGAATTTTGATGACTGATGTTTGGGCGTTTTCTGCCGACCATAACTATATGCTGCGAAGTGAACACTGCTCGCCACAGATACAGCCCGTGCGAACAATGAGCCCGCCGTTCTTGGCCTTGTAGTCCGAAGGTCGCTCGCTGGCGGCTCGACTGCAGACTTGTTTACACTTTACAATACAGACCGACAGTCCAGCGGGGGTAATTGCGCCCGTCAATTTCGGGTGGCCCGTCTCAGCCGGACCGAACAGACGCAAGGAGCGGGGAACACGAAGACGGCGGGCGCCGGGCACCCATGTATGAAACGTGGAAAACGAGGCTCACCGCACAGCTTGAAGGTTCGTTGTTGACAGAGGGCCCAGTTTGATGTTGAGTTTTGATTTTGAGTTTTCGACAAGTTGTATTTGAATGGCGGTTATACCTATTCACGAAGCATCGAATAAACTGAAATGTGAGTTAATATAACATGTGCCATTTGTTTACAGCTATTGTTAAGTTTTCGACACCACAGGGTTTCGTCAAGTTTTTGTAGCCTCAGATGTCCAGCTCCAGACCAGTTCTGACCAGAAGTGTGTAAATAAAACAAATGACATCACCAGCTGACAGACCACTAACTACATAGACCATCCGACAGGATATTGCTGATGAAATACGCTCAGATCGCTCGCTCAGATGAACGACAAGTTTGGAAAAGAATATGCTCATTGTGAATCACAAGACCACGAAAAAGGCGTAACGAAAATATTACCTTTTGCTTATGAGACCTAGCATTTGTCAACGCCTTCGAGATTAGGTATATACAACTGGCATTTACTAGAGTTGCAAAGTTTTCCCAATGGGCTGCTACCGGCACCGCCCCGCCCCACAAACATTTTCTGGGATACCGGCATGCTACCACGCCCCAAGCAAAAAAAACCGCCAAATTACCGGCATACTAAAAAACCTGCATTCTTGATTCTGGCTTACCCCTACATCAGATGCCACATTTTGGCAATTTCAGTAACCGCCCCACCCAACAGCCAACCATTGTCCAACTTATTACAATTCAATAGCCTCTTAGTGTCCAAAGTTTGAATCATATGCTGATAATTTTTAATTTTTTGTGCAAAATCAAAAATACCGGCATGCTACCGGCAAGACATGCCAGATACCACGAAAAAACCTGCGGTAGTGAAAAATTACCGGCATGCCGGTAGTGCGGTAGGGAAATTTTGCAACTCTAGCATTTACAGATCAAAACAAACAAACATTAAAAATTCTACACTCATCAAAATTTAAAACTTCGTTTTTAGGCCTTTTTAAAGACAACATAAAAATAACGTAGCACTCTGGAATTTTCCTAAATCGCAGCGCTCAGACATCACATTCATTGCCGCTGCATGTGCTCGCGCCGAGTACTTCCTCTTCCCGGGTGTTCTATCGAGGTCGTGCACGTGACTCATGACCTCGTGCCGGGGGGCGCGCGGGAGCTAGGCGCGCGGGGGGCGGGGCTGTGTCCGTCTGTGTATGTCTCCTGCGGTCTGCGCTGAGTCCTCGGGACACTGCTGTAACCTTCAGACGGGCTGAGGGTCGTACCTCCTGGCCCCGCGGCGCCCGAGCTGCCGCTTCCCAGCCGCACGCGCCATTTCCGAGAGCTGTTCCATCCGGAACGGCGCCCATGGGGATGGCGCCAGCAAGATTACTTTACTAAGGCGCCAGTACCTAACGTCATGGTGGCGTAACGCAATGCTGTTTACTGTAGTGAGTTGTAATAACTCAGCTATTTTGTTTGTCGTTTAACATCTAACATTTAACATAACAATAACATTATTTTATTTTCGCAACAAAGCAATTTAGTGCCGAAGAGTGTTAACGTCTTTAAGGAAATTAAATCCGAATGAATGAATAGGTGGCTTTGAAACAAAGCAAAGGTTAATTTAAAATCATATCAAACTATAAATTGTATCGAACCTATCGAGAAGTGCCGGTGCGTAACTGAAAAGAAGAATGGCCGCATCGTAATCTAGATTACCTACAATAGGTAATAATTAATTAAGAATTGTAAAGGAAGGTAAGTAAAGGGTATAGATTAGGCATGCCGTATGGGTGGAGCGGTTGAAAGGCAAAGGAACCCTTTTCCACGTTGACAAAACCCAAGTCATAGAGAAGACACATCTGTCTTACGAGACGGAAGTGTTGAGGCATTTATCGAAATTTATTCGAATCACCATGACAGCAATTCTTGCAAAATAAATTAAGATATTTTTCGAGCATCCACTTCCATTTCTTGTTCGCGCCTGCCGGGGAAATATTGGTAGCCGGTAGGTATACCTAAATTTTGATGTGTCGTTATTTGGTTCGAGCTTTCGTCACGTTGAAATGCTCGACAAATTATACGAATGAATAGTCATTGGTCACGATTTGCCACGGTATCAATCACTGAAAAATAACAGCTTTAGATAAAGCATCTCAGCGAGCGACGGAGACCATCAAAAAATAAAATCCATTCTGTTTTATGCTGCTTTTCAATAACAGGCTTCCCGTCCGGTTAACCATTGATGCACAGCTCTCGTATTCTGTGCCTCCAACGGCATGCCAGGGCCCATCGCCCTCGATCCGGCTGCAGGACAATAGCAGCTCTATCGAACGTACCCATTGACCCCGCGCCTCGGGTTCAAAGGGTCCGCCCATGGAACAGTCCCCATAGAACATTGGTGAAAAGCGCGTCTCTCCCCCTATTCACGGACCCTCAACAAAAATATCAAACAAGTCTACCAAACCCCACCAATCGGCCGTAAAACTCACCGAAATCGGGAGTTGGCAGGTACGATCCACCCGTGGGGGCCTCCAGACAGCTTCTGCTTCACGGGCGCCGCCCCTTTGACGTCACTCATGGCGGAGCTGCGACCTTGGGGCGGCGCGCGCAGGCTCCCATTGGCTGTCGCGGGAGGCGTGCCCCTCCCTCCCCCCTCCGTCAAGGCTATCGTCGACGCCGGCGGGCTGCAGTGTGGGGCCGGGTCCGGCTCGTAGTCGATTCCGACACGTGGTGTGATGTTATATAACGCGCTGCGTACGCGAACCGATATAGCCGGAGGCACCGACGCTGGGCGCTGGACGTGACCGCTTCCGCTCGGCTTCCCATGGGCTCGAGCCTGCCATGGTAAAAGAACCCAAAGGCTCCCACCAATAAACTAGCACTTTCTGATGGACGCCACAAGCACCATGCCAAAGCAATGCCCACCGTGGCATAACGAAGCTCATCATATGGTGTCTAGCCGATGGCCATCGCTTTCATGTGAAAGCGGTCTACCGTCTACAGCGATAAAAAAGTGTGTATCACCCCCCAAATAGAAACCATTATGTAACAGATGCACAGTGGAATGTTACATCAGAGGTCGATGGTCTCGGAACGAATGGGGACAGCAGAACGGAACCGCCTCAGCGATAACGGGCGCCGAGAGGCGAAAGGACGACGCACCCGGCATTCGTTTTCCGGTGATTGGTTCACTGCCCGACAAGTGGGCTAGTGGCGTAGGCATATCTACGCAGAACTGGTACACATCGGGGCAGGAGAAGGGTATCGGTTGCTAGCCGACAGCTAGAGGTTTGGTCAAGACGGAAGTTTTGTTTGTATTACAAAATGTAATCATAACATGAGCGGCTGGTTATTCGTTCTTCGTAAGTTATATTCGCTGCAACGGCCATATCGAAGTTTCAGCAAGGTGTATATGGAACAACTAGGAAGAGAAAATGGGCCACATGACTATGGATAAGCCCGTATCACATTAGCAAATAAACTGCGCAGTAAGTGTAACGACGTCTACGCAGCAGCCAGCAAAATACAAACAGAGGCCTCTTGCACCAAACTACCTAGCTAGGTAAAATCGAAAAACCGGTTTCAGGATAAGCTAATTTAACGGTGGTAAATTTGTTTGCAATAGCCCAATACATAATCTTACACGTGCTTGCTAAATTTTGCACGCAAATTGTTACATTTGAGACTTGGACTGGGTATACGATGCAAAATAATCCAGGCATTGGTGCAAGAGGATTTTGGTGCAAGAGGCCTCAGGGCGAAACGGGAATGTGAAGGCCAGAGGGACGGCGAGAACAAGGACGATGGGTCCGGGAGCGGACGGACTAACGGGTATAGTCGGGTATAGGACTAACGTTACAGCGGGCATAGTCGAACATACTATACCCGGTATACGGTATCGAGTATTGGTGCCAATCGGAATTTCTTTTCTTGGAATTCCAATTTTTGTCCAATTCCAATTTGGAATTTGGACGGAATTCTTAACATTTTTTGGAAATTAATCGGAACACAAGGCCTTTAAAATTTAAAATTTTAAAACGGAGGCCTTTAAAACGCTTTTAAACACTTTTAAAATTTACGCAAAAAAATGCAAAAATCGTTAAAAATTGGAATAGCCCCCGCTTTGGACAAAATTGGAAATTTACTTGGCAATTTCTTGGAATTGGATCGGAATTGGAATTGAAATTTCATGAAATTGGCACCACTAGTATCGAGCAAATGGTATCAGGCAGAGCAGACACAAGTAACACACGGTTACAGTATCGAGCAAACGGGCCATACGGTTCCAGTATCCAGCAGACGGACCAAACGGTTACAACTTACAATATCGAGTAGACGGCCCATACGGTCACAGTATCGAGCAGACGGATCATGCAATATACGGATGCGCGATATGGATCATGTAGTTAGAGCAGACGAGCCATATGACGGCATCGAGCTAACGGTCGAAGGACCATACGGTATCGAGCACACGGAACACACGGCATCGAGCATACGGACCACACGGTATCGATCGGAAGGACCGTACGGTATCGACTATATCGAGCAGACGGACCATATTATCCAGAGCAGACTGTATCAACTATCAGTAGCGGCGGAACACCCTCAATTAAGGGGGGGGGGGCACTACCGACTTTTGGTCCCATTCTTTCCATGCAACGCCCAATAGGGCTAATGTTAAAAAACCAAAATCAAAGGGGGGCACGGTGCCCCGGTGCCCTCCCCGTTCCGCCGCATATGTCAACTATCAAGCATATTTGATCCGTGCTGTATGTTTGGAGGCTACAGCTGCAGTGGCGGATCCAGGGGGGGGGGCAAAATGGGCATTTGCCCCCCCCCAAATAGCATAATTTTAACATTACGCCTATGGACGATGCATGGAAAGAATCGATAAATTGTTATGGTTTGCCCCCCCCCCCAAAAAAAAACTCTGAGCTGGATCCGCCTCTGTTCAGCTGTGTGCCAATTACAAGTGCACAGGGCTCGACTGCTAATTACATGCGTAAATGCAAGTCTTATTTGCTAAGGCAAATAAAATTTTTGCAGCTATGTTTTGGTAAGTTAATAAATAATTGTAAATAAATAATATATTAATAATTGTAATAAATAATTGCATAAATAATTGTATTTCTTATTTAATTGTTACACATGATTATTATGTCGGCTGCAAGCATCCCTCGAAATAAAATCCCGGCAAAGAAACGCTGGAATATTTAATAGTGCTGTAGGTAATTGCTTGCACTGTCACGGCACCGGGCTTGGCAGACGTGTAATTCCGGAGCTCCCGTCTGATTCCCTTCTGTCTGCAGGGTGACTGCAGAAGCCAAGTGAGCTTTAAACACCTGTCTGTCTAGTGTCTATTCTCAGTCTGGAAATACCTACCTGAATCCTGCATCATTAGTGGAAATTTCCTGTTCGTGAGAATGTATATGCGTTTGTCACTTCTAGCGACCTTTGGACCCAGCGATGCACCGATAACGCATAACGCATGAGCTCACGTGTGCGTGCGCGTGCCAGCAGCGTCCAAAGGCCGTCCTGGCGGTGGACTTTGCACAGGAGTCGGCTGTCGGACAGTACAGGGAGCACAGAGTGCAGCAGTCAGGCTGTGTGCACTGTATGCACGGAACATGCACAGAGCACCGGGGGCTGCTGTTGCTCCGCTGGACCTTGGCCCTGCCGTAGCCGGTGACACCACCACCCCGAGCCCTGCGGGACATCAGTCCGAGCGGGTCCATGTCTGCAGAGCGTCTGTTCGGTGTCGGGTGGGACGTCTGTGCAATAAGCTGGCAACAGCCGGACGGAAGCCTTAGTACTCACTGGAAGGTGATCACTGGGTCTCCGAAGGGCAGCTGGCTCTCCGGGTATTATATCGAAGCACAAGCAATGCTTTATTCCAAGGCTTCATCCTCATACCCAATTTATCTTTTTTTAATATTCCGCATTTCGTAACGGGCTTGGTGAGGCAGTGCCAGTGGGAAGTCCAACTCCCAAAAAAATGTTTGAAAGAAAATTGCCACATGAAATCGGGAGCATACTTCTATGATTTTATGATTGGCATATTTACATAAGCGATATGTCATAAGATCCGGTACGGTCCGGTTCACTGACGTCAGACACCAGGGCGCTCGGCGGTGCGTAAATAAGAGGATGGGTACTGTCCTCCAGAAGAGTGTGCGATCGACACACCCACCGCAGAGACACGTGGAAAGGCCGGGAAAAGGGAGGTCCGATTGACACACCCATCGAGTGACTCGCCCTCCCGTGCCGAGAGGAGGGCGCTGCGCAGTACGCGTTCTGTCGACACAACCCGCTTCCTTACCTGAAGTGTAAGCCAAGGCGTGTGAGCTATTCTGTTGTTACTTGATGTTAAGTGCGCTGCTAGTCGCTCGTTTAACCCGCGCCCTGCTGGGGGTCCTGGATTTCCACGCCCTGCTGGGGGGGGGGGGGGTGTTTGAACACCCCCCCTTGTAACTCGGCTCCTGGGCCACGTAGCGATACGCGGAAGGCGGCGTTCGAAAGAGCGTCAAAAATAATGACGAAATCACTTCGGTCAATTTTTTGGTCAGGTCAAAGGTCAGGTCACCAGAGGTCATTGAAGGCAAAATTTCGCCAATTTCCAGGTCGAATGTCGAAAATTTCCAAGAAGCCAACGCATAACTCGGGAACCAATAGAGCTACAGCGCCGCGGAAAAGCGCATTCGATAGCCCTATTAACGCCCTTTCTGAGTAATTCTCTCAGATTTGACCTAACGTCAACGGTTTTGCCTGCAGGGGGCAAAAACTGCAAAAATAGCCGATTTTTTTGAAAACAGTTTTTCTGCAATAACTTTTGACCCAAGCCTTGTACGAGCTTACTTTTACCGGCATCGTGTTCCTCTCGTCAAGACGCATCGAATGAACTATGACTTGACCTTGAAAGGTCAACTTGAAAATTTGACCTCAGGTCAAGGTCATGACCTGACCGGAAAGGGTCATGTTGCATATCGGTCGATCCGTATCATCGAGCTGAACACATCTAAGGCGTTTTCATCGCTCTAGCATGCCTCTATCAGAAGTTATTTGCGAAAAACTGTTAGATACCATTCGTGACCTAAGATGACCTAAGGGCATAAACAAGGGTCACGGACACCATTTTCAAGTTCAGTGTGTCTAAACCACTTGTAATTCGGTGTTTGGGAGTGTTTATAATGTCTTTCATCCAAAAGAGGCGCATTTCAATTTTCTCCCATTGACTTATAATGGGGAGGTCGCAAAATTGACCTGACCTTAGGTCATCGATATCAAAATTCTGAGATATACATTTTGTACATGCTATTGCTCTCAGCAATCGCTGAAAGTTTCAAAGCGATCAGTCACTCGGTGTAGCTATGACAGACATTGAAAGTTTTTATGAGGTGAGGTCACTTCAAGTGACCTGGTGACCTGACCTTGAATGACCTTGGTCTGAAATTTTCACAACATGTGTAGAATTGATGTATGATAAGGTGTACCAAAAACGGCGGCGCGGAGCGCCGCCGTTTTTGAGATATTCGCAAAAAACCACAAGGGGGGGTGTTCAAACACCCCCCCCCCCAGCAGGGCGCGGGTTAATTTATTTCTAATTCCCGGAATGTAAAAACAAACGACGAAGAACCCCTAGTAATTTTCCTTAGCGACCTTGTGCGTTGCTTCTTATATTTATGAAAGCACTAATTCAAGTTACTTTATTTCATCCAAAAATAGAGGCCCCACGGAATTCTAATAAGTAATTTAATAACGCAATGCATGCTTCTCGACAGAGATCGGGTCGTTGAGGTGACGGAGCCCGAGGTACCAAGTGCATGCAACATAGGCACCGTTTATTATATCCCATAAACACATAATCTCAGAACACTCATTGAACATTTTGTTAGTCACCAGTCTTGTCACGAACGCAGCTCATGGCACAGTGAGCTTTGCACCTTGTGATATGCATAAAATTAGTGACAAGCATATGACAGGTAAATAGGGGCATTGACAATGCAATCGTGCACAGATGAGTTTAGCGGACTGCTTATCGGATAGTCATGTAGGACATCCAGTTCAACCCTCGGTCCGTCTCATTCCTGGTAAACCGATAAGGCACGATTATCAAACTTCACTGCACGACGCAAGCAATGTAAGAAGCATCCTGCTTCAACGGTAATTGCATCGTTTTCTATCATTCCTAGTTCCATACTGCAATTCATTTAATCATGAACCAGATGTAGTAGTCTATGATATGATCTATTTTTCCCAAATATGCTAGCAGCATAGACGCAGTAAACACATTCATCTGGGCCAATGTGGCCATAGCCTCGGCTGGATTCGCTGACCAGTGACCGCACCCGACGAACACTCGCCGCGCCACCTACACCCAGGTCCCCACCCTCGCAGCGGCCAGCGCCGCTAGCGCAGCCTGTGCCAGCAGCGCGGCGCCACCTAGCGCAGGTCGGAGGGCGGGAGCCGGAGAGAACATGTGCCTGACGGTGGCCCAGGTGCCGTTGTGGGGCCGCGGCTCGATGTCCAGCTGGTGAGCCAGCACCTGGTATATGTCCACCAGCTCCATCGGATCCTGTGTGTAGTTCCTCCGGAACCCTACGTGGAGTCAAAGGTAGAATGGTCACTGCTCAGTGCTCAGTTAACAGAACCAGGTCAAGAGTGAACCATACACGGTGCACTCAAAAAAGCTCTCATACCTCATTCACACGAAGATGTAACATCGACGGATACCCACCGGGTCCCCTGGCGTAGAACACAGTGGCCATGTCGGTCATGTTTCGCGTGTAGCCGTGGATGCCACGGGTGCCGTCCCAGGCGCCGGGCAGATCCCGGGGCAGCATGTTGTCTGTCTGGGTGCCCACGATCACACTTCCTGGAATGAGAACAGAACGAAATGGATAGTGAAAAAGGAACGGAGAACGAGAACAAAAGGTAGCGAGCACAAAACCAGAACGAACGGAGATAAAAAGAACGAATTATAGCGAGATCAGAAGGGAGCGAGAACGACAGTGGAGCGAAAAAAACAACGGAACGGACGGATAGCGCGAACGGAACGGAAGGAGAACGGTACCGGCGAGGCCTGAGGGGCTCATCCAGCACCATTCATTGAGTTACTAGGGAACTAAGTGAGGTTAAGTAACGCGAAAGGAGCCGGCCGGTGGCAATTGGTATTTGAAGGTGAAGTGACTGATAGAGGACGTTGTATTCACACTAACTCACCAAAAATCAAAGCTGCCAAAGCGTTGAGAGAAGAGAGAGAGAGAGAGAGAGAGAGAGAGAGAGAGAGAGAGAGAGAGAGAGAGAGAGAGAGAGAGAGAGAGAGAGAGAGAGAGAGAGAGAGAGAGAAAGAGAAAGAGAAAGAGAAAGAGAGAGAGAGAGAGAGAGAGAGAGAGGGGGGGGGGGAGGCGCTCACCTGGGTCGGCCAGTACCAAAATCTCCGGAATACGTGAGTGGGTGGCGTAGTGCCACTCGGTGGGAAACTCGTCCCGAGTATACACGGTCACATTGGGCATACTGGCCAGCTCGTTCAGAATCTGGGGAAAATACCAGCAGTGGGTCGTAAGGAAATATTGGGGATGAAAATGCCGCCCTCAAATCTGAATAATATTGCCCTTACATTTTTAGGCGATGTTCGCTGGATTTGAAACAAATTTGGCAGTGAAGTTAAATGTAATCTCTTGCACATAAGACACATGCATTATGCACGTTACGAAATACGACAGCTCGGTTTCTTGGTCCTCACGCACCTGCCGCTGTGTGGAGGCGCGCTGCATGATCTGGGTGTGGGCCCCGGTCCCTCGGTTTTTACGCACCTGCTGCCGAGTGGTCGCGTGAGGTATGATCTACGTGTTGGCGGGTGAAGGCGGGTGCAGTAGGCGCCTGTCTCTCGGTTTTACGCACCTGCTCCCGTGTGGAGGCTCGCGGTATGATCTGGGTGTAGGCGCCACGGTCGATGATGCGCTCGGCCAGCAGCGGAGACAGGTACAGGTCCAGGTAGAGGAAGTTGGTGTCCACATGAGCCCCCACCTCAGTCATGCCGTGGTCACCGACCATGACAAAGTTCACCTGCCGCGGTCGGGCCGGATGATCAGATCGGCAGGCAGGTCTGATCAGGTTACCGAAATGTGGTCGGCGGGTCGGTGCTAAGTATAACGTCACTGTCAGGTCTGGTAAAAAAAAAAAAATATTTAGGACAAATAGAGGTGTCATGCACTGCCAAAGGTATGCCGAATAGGTATATGCCATAGGTGCCGAATAGGTATATGCCGAAAATATTGCCTACATTTATTTGGGTAAAAAGAAAACGACATTCCAGGATCAGCCCAAGTTCAACATAACTGCTAAAGTCAAAACATTATTACCTTGCCAGCGCTGCCGACTGGAAACAATTTGTAAAGCGCTAGCCTACACAACGAACAGTTAGGTATGTCGCCGTTTCGAATATCTAAATCAGCCGGACTCCGATCCATATCGCTCCGGTGAACGAGGTTACTGTTGGGGCATTCCACGATAGATCGTACCAGGCCCGTCACCCTCATCTCTCAGATTCTAATGAAAATCCGTCCTAGGGGTAATCATAGGCCCCAAAGACGCCTGGCAAAATATCAGACTTCTCAGATCAAAACTTTTTGAGTTATATTGCATTACATTTTTTTAACTTCGGTTTGTAACGGTGAGTTTGATGGCCTATAACTCAAGAACGGGTTAAGCTACCAACAAACAGTAAACAACACTAAGCTTGCGATGAATCAAAAATTAATATTACCATTTAAAAATTCCAAAGAAAAATTTTCATTGTTGAGCAAAAACCTTAATCTTTTTTCATTTGCCTCTAATGACCTTTGGGACCAAAATTTTTCAAATTTTTATTTTTTCAAAATAAACTTCATGTCATTGCAAATCGACATGCAAAAAATTAGAAAGGTGTTCTTTCTATAAAATCCTCATTTTCCCGCAAACAAAATGGGTTTCGGAGGGGTTGATACGACCCCAGCACGCCGTTTCGCTTCTAATAGAGCTAGAGCCTCGCGGAAAAAACGAGCGTGTGTGCCATTACAATTCGCAGCGATTGGTACCCGATTTTAAGGTCTCAATTCAACCGGTAGCGTCTGAGGTCAGGTCAAGTGACTGAAGTTACGGGTTCGGTTTTTAGCAAATAACTTCGCAAAAAATGGCCGCAGAGCCGCGATTTTGGCATCATTGTGTTCGCCTAGCTCAGGTGCATCGAATGGTATACTTTTTGCTAGGGTGAGGTCAACTTAAGTAGTTGACCGCGGATCAAGGTCAGGTCAGAGCCCCTCAGGCCACGAAGCTGGGCAAAGGGTATCATATGGCATATCATTCGATTCGGAAGGTCTTCCCGAGTCCATTGGTGGCTTTCCCGACTCTCTAGCACCATTTGATCGGGAGTTATTGACGAAAAACTCGTACGACCCTAGTGACGTCATAAATGACGTCACGCAAGGTTACCAATGCAAAAGAAAAGCATTGGACTTAGCAAGAAGTGCATGAAATCACGATACCATGTACGTGAGATAGTTTTAGATCATTCTCGGCGCCAAAATAACAGTTTTTATATTTCCCCATTGACTTATAACAGTGATGTCACGTGACCGACCTGACCTCACGTAACCTTAAAAATTCCCAGATATACAAGCTGTGAGACCTCTGGAGGACACCATGTATGCGTCCTGTAACTTTCATCTCGGACAGCTATGGTCGTTGGCGTCCAAAACAATGTCAGAACCAAACAGCCTTTTTGACCCTCGCGCTTATAGGAAAGAGGGTTGGATGAACCCTCTTTTCACTTTTTTCAGATGACTCAGACTTCAATTGAAATTTCAGTAACCCGTGATGTCACTAGGCAGCCATACCACGCCATTTGTAAGCTCCCCTCCCGTAATCACTATTTGAAACCGTTATCGTGACGTAAAATAAATACATTTATAGAAAGAACACCTGCCTAATTTTTTGCATATTTGCTAACAATGAGCCAAATATTTTTTTTTAAAGAAATAAAAATTCAAAAAAATTTGGTCCCAAAGTCCAAAAAAATACAAATGAAAGAAAACTTAATATGTCATATATCAAAAATAGCGTATTTTTCGAAATTTCAAAAATACATATTAATCTCTGTTTCATTGCAAGTTCAATGTTATATAACATTTGGCATTTGAATAATCCGTCTTAGAGTTACAGCCCGCCAAACTTAGCGCTGCAAGGCAAGATCCAAAAAATGTTATACACCATAACTCAAAAAATACTTATCTGATAAGCCTGAAATTGCTACAGGTGGATTCAGAGCCCCTGATTACCCCTGAGACCAATTCTCGTCAAATTCCGAGAGATGAGGGTGTCAAATTGGAAAAAAGTGGTACGATCTATCGTGGAATGCCCCTGTTATCTGTGAGCAAGCTTGTCATTAACAAATAAAGCCATAAAAGTCACAAGGATCAAAGTTCAAGAAAAGGCAGTTATGCATAGAGTTGCTCAATGCAGTATGCAGATTAATTCATATTTATTCAGGTTCCTCTTCGCATTACCGAATACGCCTCTCCTCTCGCCCTGTCAGCATGACGCTCCGAATGTGGGGGAGGGTGGGACAGACAGCGCATGCGCGCGGCTCCTCTGCGGAGCCAAGGTCACTCGCTCGCTATGTATTGCGCCATTGGACGCAAGGCGGCGCCGACTGTTATTTACCGCTGAGGCCAGCCACGCGGGAGGCGGCGCCCAAACAGCGACAGTGCCGGCCGAGGACTGAAGAGGAAGTGATCCCACGAGACTGATCGTGTGACGAGTGATCCCAGCAGTGCCTTCATAAGAGAGGTGCGGACTGCGGAGTCAGTGAAGCCATGCTGGGCTGGCTGGTAACGGCGCCGCTGGCGGTGCTCCGGTGGCTTATCTCGCCAATTCCTCTGACAGTGATTGCCGTGCTGGCCGCATGGGCGTACTACAGCATCAGCAAGCGGTTGGACTTCTGGAAGTCGCGCGGAGTGCCCGGCCCAAAGCCACGCCTGCCCTGGGGCACCGAGTATGGATCGCCTTTCTCGGCAGTCACCGAGTTCGAGAGCTGGCTGTACAACGAACACGGCGGAAAGAAGTTCTGCGGGTTCCTCGAACTGCAGCAGCCGGTTCTGTTCGTTGGAGATCCGGACCTGATTCGTGCTATCACCATCAAGGACTTCGAGCACTTCCCCAATCAACGCGATCATTTGGGGACGGACTTTTGGAAGGAGACACTGATTCTCCTGAAGGGAGCCGAATGGAAAGAGACTCGTGCCGTCATGTCGCCTACCTTCTCCGCCAGCAAACTGAAGGCGATGCACCAGTTGACGTTGGACAACGCACAGAACCTGACGAAGTACTTGCAAAAGCAGATGAAGGAGGAAGGACAGGTGGAAATCAAGGATGCCTTCGGACGCTTCACCATGGACAACATCGCGGCTTGCGCGTTCGGTGTCGACTGCAACTCGTTCGTTGATCCCAACAGTCAGTTCGCCAAGAATGCGGCCAAGTTCACCAACTTTCCTCCAATCATGATGCTGCGCTTCGTTGCCGAAACGTTCCTGCCATACAGCATCGCGAGATGGTTCCCCGACTACGGCCTCAAGGTAGGCGCTTTCTTCGCAGACGTCGTTATGAAGACCATCGCCTATCGCGAGAAGAACCCTAGCGCCACGCGAGATTTCCTCCAACTGCTGATGGATACCAAGGACAAGGATGGCAAGCGCATCCTCTCTGACAGCAGCATCGTGGCGCAGTCTTCGCTATTCCTCGTCGCTGGCTACGATACCACGTCCATGCTGCTAACGTTCGCTGGCTTCTGCCTAGCGCTGGACCAGGAGATACAGGAGCGTGTTCAGCAGGAGATCGACGAGGCCCTGGAGCGCCACGGAGGCCTCACCTACGAGGCCATCCAGGACATGCCGTACCTAGACCGGGTGATCTCGGAGACGCTGCGCCTCTACCCGCCGGCTACTCGCATGGAGCGCGTCTGCGCCAAGGAGTACACGCTGCCAGACACGGACATCCAAATCCCTGCGGGAACGCTAGTCTACATGCCTGTGTTCGCTATGCACCGTGACCCGGAGCTGTACCCGGACCCGCTGCAGTTCGACCCGGACCGCTTCCTGCCAGAGGAGAAGGAGAAGCGCCACCCGTGCGCCTACATCCCGTTCGGCAACGGGCCGCGCAACTGCATCGCCATGCGGTTCGCCCTGTTCGAGGCCAAAGTGGCACTGGTCTCGGTGCTACGGGAGCTCACGCTGAAGCCGGCGCCGGAGACGCCACCGCACCCGATGCCGCTCGATCCCGATGCCTTCCTGACGACGCCGAAGGACAGGAAGGTGCCGCTGCTGGCTGTCCCCAGACAGGCAGCGACTCAGTCGTGAGGCAGTGGTCCGAAAAGCCGGAGACCATTGCTCAACGTATTGGCCAGTTTAGCTCAGTTCAGTTCAATTTAGTCAGGTATGAGGTCGTGAAGTAACGGCTCGTTGAACAACTGTTCGGTGCCTAGGAGGGTCTGTCGCGCAGCTGCCGGTTAGATGTTTTTTTGTGAGGCAGCTGCCCCTTTTGAGAAGACCTAATGAAATAGGAGATTTGCTTATGCATGACGTAGAAAATTTTCTTACCTTGTCTAATTTCTTCCTCTGGTCCAGCTCCTTGAAGAATACACTGAGTTCTTTATCCAGTTCCACCATGGCTTGCTGCATCTTCGATCCGCTGGGGCCGTATTTGTGCCCCACCGAGTCAATGTGCTCTGCATAGACCTGTAGAGAAACAGGATTTTTGGTTGCACATCGCTGGTCTTAAATATGACTTACCAATATGATTGCTTGATCACTACCCTGGCTGGTTAGTGGTTACATGACCCATTACGAGGAAGTGAGTGGTGAAGTTAGGAGACATTTGATCTATAGTGGCAATAGACAGAAAAGTCATCCAATGGCATTTGTTTTTATCATTTACACACTTCTCGACATACTAAGACCGCCTATCATCAAAAGTGTCCAGGATTCCTGCATTCAGCAGCCCACAAGCCCTACAAGACCATACAACTCACAATGACAAACTTGAAGCCGCGGTCAATCTTGTCAATGGCCAGTGCCAGGTGGTCTTTGATGGTCTGGAGGCCGTGGAACTTCTCGAACGGACTGCAGTAGGCCGGTTTTACCCCGCTCACCGCTACGTCACACCTGTAATGTAACGACGAACGACATCGCACACGTAAAAAATGGCCGACAGGCCACGTCACATAGCGACGACATGTCAGGTGTCACACCCGTAACGACGACATCAGACATGTCACACGTCACAAATATCGGCAACTGAGTCCACGTCACATGAATATCGACGATATGGTTCACGTCAAAAGTCACACATATCACGCCGACAGCCGACAAGTGACGTCTTCATTGAGTGTATTCGATGATGTCACGCACGCCACAGCGGTAACGCCGTTGATATAGCTATGTCATAGGTATACCTCCGACATACCTGATAACACGTCATATACAAAATGTGCGGCACTGACGTCAGGTCTTACACACAAGAACCAATCTTGCCGTGCAAAGGCAAAAACATTACGTCAAGTGAAGGGTCATTACCTCAGGCCAGAGGTCACCCGAACGTAATCGGTTTCGCTTTTGCACGGCAGATCCCCCAGCCTAACCAGCGCTGCAGACATTGTGAGCCACAGCTAACAGATGGATTGACAAATTTCAAACAACCTACCGTTAATAGTTTCCCTTCACAGCCTACCTCACCTCTCACCATGCCTGGGGGCGGTGATGTGCATTATCTAGCGCCTGTGTATTTGTAAACAAGGCGTTTTCCATTGCATTGGACAAACATGCACACGAGTCTCTCAGTCGTTGTCAGCGCTGAGACCCGTCTCCAGGTCAGACAGCCGTTGTGCGAATCGTCTCACCTGGAGAAGCCGATGACGGCGGTCTTGACACCCTGCTGGGTCGATGTGACCCAGATGGGGTCTGATCCGGCCGCCCACCAGCCCGGCTGGCCCGTCAGAGTGCGGTTGAACAGGGTGAACACACCCAGCTGGTCGTCCCACATGTTGTTGCCGACGATGCCATGCGTCTCTGCCCAGCGGCCTGTCGAAGAGAAGGGAATGATACGGACAACGCTGCGGAGAAACGATAACTCATTCGCCGCATGCTGGCAGAATCCTGTTATTACAGACCAGAAGGCGCCCTGGCAGTCTGGCAGGTACGATCAGAAACGGTTACTCAGCAGTCGCCTTTCTGATGCTCAGGCTCACGGCATACACAAACAGACAACATGGTGGCACGGTTAAAATGGCAACTCATCAGCCACACAGCGGTAGCCGGCGTATGAGGTCCGGATGGCCAAACAGACGGATGAAACTCCGAAAATCGCGACTGTCTGGAACGCACTTCTGAGAACAGATAAAGACTTATCTTGATAAAGACTTGGGCCTGACTTCTTCTCGTAACTTCATCCATGTCCTCGAGTAGAGTTTAAAGAGCGAGAGAGTGGCAAACACACAAGCCCAAATAAGTGAGTGGAAAGTCAACAGCCCAAGTGGGCCGGCCGAACGTTAAGTTGCAGAAACGTAGCCAATCACTTCCAGTCTGCCAGAAAAACACACACACCTTCAACGGTGCTTCGAGGTACAGCCAAAACCACCACACCGCTGTGCTCCCGTAAGCAGCCAGCGCCGGGTGACTCCCGTAATTCTTAACGGCTGTTTAGTATACCAGAGCAGCGGAAGACTCCCGTTCCTAATGACCATTCAGTCGACAGTCATCCCGGTGGATCCTGTTTCTAATGGCCGTTCAGCGATCCGGGACATGCCAGGCTGTCGGCCACTCGACTCGCGTGGAGCGCTCACAAAGGCCGGACAGACGTGTCAGCCTCAGTGGCTCCACCGAACCGACCTTGGATAGCTGCCAGTCATGGCCAGACGTTTGGATTGCTCCTATACACACGCATGCCTCAGCACTTCAGCAGTCAGTTCAGATACGCAAGGCTAGAATTTGGAACTGAGTTAGGAGCGACGTTGGAACTGTCGAAATGAGGGCGCAAAGCTGGATGCAGCCCGAAGGTTCAGCATGATGTGCCACAATCCAAAAAATGACACCAGTTTGCAGCATAGCTTCGCTGGAAAAGTCAGGTATATTACGGACAATAAATTCAGCCGTAGTTCGTACGTAAAGACGCCTTACCCTCCCGTGCTTCCATGCTACAAGCTAAGAACATTGAACGGCAATGTCCCGCTCAACTAAAGGTTCAGCTGGCACATTATAAGATGAATAGGAATATACGAAAGAAGATGGGCAGGATGGGGTAGATCTCGGGCTCACCTGTCGCTATGGACGTCCAGCTGGCGTACGACACTGAAGGGAAGATGGGGTAGACCCTTTTCGCACGTACTCCCTCCTTTTCTATCATGTGCAGACTGCCCTTGTGTCCCAGTGGCAGCAGCTTCTGGTAGTCCCAGCGGAACCTGGCAGCAGGAAGATGCGTAGGTATATTCTCACGACTCACACCATTTACACCCAATGGTAAGCGCCGTATATAGGTAATATAGAGCAGCTATAGATGGATATTGAACAATGAAATACTATGAATACATGTGCACCGGAATCAAAGGATTCACGGTCACTATGCTGGACTTATCATGCCGCAGAGACGATGCGCATTTCTAACTGTCAGCTAAAGGCTGCGATAAAAATGTACTCGATGCCAAGGCCGTGGCCATAGCTGCGTCATTCTTCCGTAATAGCAAAGGGCATTAGACAATACAGACACCCTCACGGCACGGCACACTCACCCATCGACGATGAAGAGGACCAGAGGGTTGGCGGCGGCGGCGGCGCTGGTTCCCACACAGGCCAGCAGCGCCAGCGAGCAGCAGACCCAGCTCCTCTCGGTGATACACCTCATCCTGAGCTGGTGGAACACAAAGTTGGTTCGTCACCGGGACAGGACTGAGCCTGTGGACTCTAAGAGACCCAGCCGACACAGACACAGTCCGGCCAGTGCGGAGCCTGACGGAATGCGGCGTCACAGACCGTTCGCGTGACGGATCATACAATCAACCACGGGAATGCACGGACACGGGGGCCCGAGTCGGTAGTGAAAATGATCGTTCCAATTGGTAGTTCACAAAGACACAGGCACAGCCGCAGAACGAACTTTCGGCTGGTGGGATGGAGCTGGGAGGACAAGGACTGGAGACACAAATGATACCGTCAACCGCAGAACAAAACGTGCGGCTGAGGGGCGGGGCGGCTCCCCAGGCGAGCTCACCTGTGTGTAGTGTCCACTCCTTTGCTGAGTGTCCGAGGCGAGGCGAAGCGGGCGGCGGCACCTGCTACCTCCGGTGGAGGCTAACCGCCGTCAGTCGTCTCTTTGGGGTAGAAGACTGCAGCGGACGACCCCCAGCTCTCTGCGATACTCCGAGCGGCGACTCGGAACGTCAGCCCGCCGGCAGTCTCACCCACCAACTATGTATCAACTGAGCGGCCGGCCGGCGGGGCGGCCCAAAATAGCCGTCGGGACACCGGGCCCCGGCGCCGCCACTGTGCTCTCGGCGCTCGCCACTCTGCCGCTGATCTCACCACTCTGCCCTCCGCTCTCGCTGTTCTGTTCTCCGCTCTCGCCACTCTGTTGTCCGCTCTCACCACTCTGTCTTCTGCTCTCGCTTCTCTCCCTTCACTCTCGCTTCTTTGCCACCACTCCGCTCTCCACCACCATCCCTCTGCCACTTACTCTCGCCACTCTACCTACCGCTCTCACTCACCACTCTACCGCCCACTCTCGACACTCTGTCGGCCATCCAAACACTCTGTCTCCCGTCCGTCAGTTTTTTACCACTCCACCTCCCGCCCACATCACTCTGTTTAGGCGTCCAGTGACACTCGACAAGCGCGGCGTGTGTTCACGTCATGGACGTTGGAGCGTTCAATGGGATATGATTGGGATATATTCGGTCTCAAGGTCGTCAGACACAGCGCATTTTATGTGGGCGTGAGTTGCAACTGTTGTCACCGCATACAGCGCGGCGGTAGTCCGCAGTGGATTAGGTAAAGGTGATATCTAACTTCTAAAGCAAGACGTTAAGAGGCGTATTTATTTTCCTGAGTTGTGCTTTTGGTTCCAGAGGTATGTGCTTACGTATCCCCACCCTAGAGACTGGTGATGGTAGCTCCGATGGCAGTGGCCGTTTGGGCAGCTAAATGGCCTGTCCTACCCAGCGAGGCCTGCTGTATCACGGAACGGGCTAGCCGCGATGTCACACCAGTCGGTTAGTCACATCAGCACGGTGTCTCGCTCTAACATCTAATGAAGACTCTGAAATGGGCTTATGAAGCCAAAAGTGTGTAATCTCGGAAAACAAGCCACAAAATAAAAAAGTAGAAAGGTGCTTTATATCGCAAATGTATTCATTTCATTAATTGCCAGCAATTGCGCCCGCACTACCCATCTCAATCTTTCAAAACGGTATGATCCGAGTCAAACTCAACAAAAAGCAACTTGCGGCAATCAGGAAACTGTAACAACAGGAAATAGGAATAATACGGCAATAATCTAAGCTCGTTTGTAAGGAAAGAAACCACGAGTAATTGGCACTTGCACATAACACTTGGAGGAACCTTGATGAGACTAGAAGGCACCGACATCGATTGCCGTACTTTGATCGGTAATGAGACGACCTCTAAAATTATGCCGACGTGTTTGAAACTGCATAATCACACATCATCCTCGACTAGCTAAAAATGAGCAATCTGAGTACGTAATTGAAAAATATGCATACCAGAGAACTCAGACTTAATTAACTTACTTCTACATAATTCAGATAACTCAAGTTCCACTTAGTATGTCATAGTCCATACTGCAAAACGTAACTTCATTTCATTGCGGGGGTCACTCCATCCCCAATCCTGATGAGTCTACCTGAAGGGGCAGTCCAAGGCCCGTAGTGCCGAGGACAGTCTCCGTATCGTTCTTCAGACAGGACCAGTACCGACACCCTGTGGCCTGTACCACTGCCTAGAACGGTACCGCCGGTGCAGTACCTTAGTTTCAGACGGCGTCGTAGGTCCCAGACGGTCCAAGAAATAAGCAAGCCTCAGCCGATATCACAGCCCCAGTATCATATAGACGGAACCTCAGAGCTAGCAGGGGCAGACGGTGTCACAGTCCCAGTATCATACCTCAGAGTTTAGACGTTTCCTCAGGACTAGCAGACCGGGTAGATGATGTCCATTTGTCCCAATCCCATACCTCAGACGTTGCCTCAGGGCTAGCATGAGAGGTAGATGGTGTCCATCATGTTCCAGCACTATACTTTAGACAGAACCTCAGGACTAGCAGGGTAGACGGTTACGGGTCAACCATACTTCAGACAGTGTCATCGCCCCGTGGCCCTCCCTCAGCGCCGTCCGCTCGAGGCCGGGCGTCACCGGCGCCGGCGGCCTGCTGCCGGTTCCGGGGCATGTGACGCCACTTGTCGTACAGGTCCACGGTGGTACGGCTCGGGTGGAAGTCGTACGCCAGACGGATCGCCTGGGGGCGGCAAGGGTCTAAATCAGCACCCTGTTTGAAGTCACAAAGCTAGCGACTGCTGGATATTCGCATACTGAAGTCCAACGGTGACTTCACCCATGCTCTTCAAATACACGCAACATCATGTGCTCTGTGAAAATCGTTCCGATCGAATAACACCACCGTCCCTAAATGCAAGGCGTGAGCCTCGGGTTGCTATGCGTTAATTGGAACCACTACAGAGTGCCGCGGCTAAGTGCCTAATGAGTCGAACACGGCTCAGATTACCCAGTTCATGACAGTTGGAAATCAGGACTGGCACAAAACTGGGTGTACTGGCGTCTCCCAACCATGCGAGCTCAAGGTCAGGATCACTTATCAGGGATCAAAGTCGACTCTCGGGCGTGTCAAGGTCACTGGTAACGTACGGAATGTGTATGCCACATTTCTGGAGTCGGTCATATAAAAGGTCGGTATCACGTCTATGTAGGTTTCGCCTGATTAGGTCTCGGGTGTTAGAGTAACTTCTGAGTAATAAGTGTCACACAAATACATAGAGGCCAAGGCCATTCGGAGGCCAGCGTTATCTGACGTCCCTCGGATGTCTCTGCCACGTCCCCAGCAGCTAACTGTCCGCACGACCCCGCACGATCGGGAGACGCACCAGGTCACAGAGGCCGATGTGCTCAGTCACCATCCATCCCCACCCCGTCACGGCCAATCCGTCACAATGCATCACGCACAGTGGTGATGCACGTCGCCGCCCGGGATTGACGGCGGGGGCGTGACGGTGCTTGGCAGGCGGCCGGGCGGGCCTGGGTACGGGACGGTAACGTGTGTTGTTTTTACGGTGATGTTTTGTTTTCAGTTATTTATGACTAAACTGGTTTTGACGGCTTTTCAAGTTTCCGCGTTGCATTTACATATACTTTCAGGCCAGCTATTCAATTGATGGTGTCACGATGACTTTATATCGGCAAGGTATCCATACGTTAACCCGCGCCCCGCTGGGGGGGGGGGCAGAATCTGCCCCCCCTCCCGTTTTTCGCCAATAACTTCTAAACGCGTTACGCCAGCGACGTCAAACTTTCAGTACCTTATCATACATCAATTTGACACGTTCCCTGAAAATTTGAGCGAAATCCGTCGGAAATTTTTTGAGAAATCGACGTTTTAGTGACGTCATGTTCGCCATTTTCGCCTAAAAAACGGCAAAATTTCAAACGCCGCTAACTTCTTCATTTTTAAAGGACTCAAGACGTAACAAAAAAGATTATACGTGATTCTGCTTCAACATGTCTATCAAATGGCTATCTCGGTTTTTTGAAAATTTTGGATTTTGGCCAAAATTTTTCCAAAAAACTGACTTTTTTGGGAAAATATTTATAAAATCCAAAATTTTGAGTGTATCGAAAAAACCGGAATATATGTCAAAGAAGTGGTCTATGTGCACCTACATACCAATTTTTAGAAGAATCGGTTCAAAAATGTGGGAGTTATTCAAAATTTTATGACGTCACGACACACAAAAATCTTGAAAAATGATTTTTTCGGAAGTTCTAGACCTCGTACGGAAATAAAAATAGCACCATTCGATTCGGCGTGAAAAACTGCATCGGATAGACACCTTTTTAGGCCTTAACAACCAACTTCAAAATTTGACCTCACTTGACCTGACCTTGACCTGACCTCGACCTGAAATTCATCCAGAGGTGGTCCATATCACTTATTGAGTGTGCCTATTGAATTCCATGAGTAAAATGACCCATAAAACATGTGTCGCACATGCCCTTTTCTATATTTTGTTTTTGGTGACCTGACCTGACCTGACCTGACCTTGACCTTGACCTTTGAATGACATTGTGTGCAACGAATATTGTCTTGGTAGTCTAAGAACACGTTTTGGGCAATCAGTCTCAGTCCATTCTTCGGCAACTACGGTGCAAGGCCGATACTGTAGAAACTTGCATATTGTACCCTTGACCTGACCTTGACCTGACCTCTGACCTACTTAAGCAAAAAAATTGGGCTCTTAAGATCCGCCTTGTTGAGAGCTTTCGATTGCCGTTTTCCCCGTCTTTCTACGACCATCGGTTCGGAAGTTAGACAGGGGGGCAGAATCTGCCCCCCCCCCCCCCAGCAGGGCGCGTATGGCTGAATAGCCCAGCGGGGCGCGGGTTAATCGGGTAGGTGTGATTCGTTATGTGCTCATTTTCGCTGTATGCTCAGACTTGTAATTACTACGGTTTGCATTCCCTTCGTTTTATTCCCCGTCCACTTTACCAGGCATGTCTGAAAGAAAAAAATGTTGCTGCCGATATTAACTGCACACCCTGCGGTCGGTTACTACCAGGACAGCAATTACTAAAAAGTTATTTAAAGCACCTCGAACGTGTCGTGAAAGGAAACAATGCAAAACGGAAAAACGAAAACCGCTCGCCCCGTAGCCTTTACTGTATGTACAAACTAAGTAAGGCGCAGTCCAGTCCACTCGTTTGCGATGCGGTCCGTTATTTTAACAGCAACTCCACACAAAGTAAACGAAGATGATTGATTCACGTGCAAAACCCATCAGCACAAATGAGATCAAACTAAGATACAATACAAACGCTTCATCTGCGTTCATGTATGCGGAATGCGGATGGACTCTCAAACCGGGCCCTTGACGTGTCATTCACAAGATTTTCGGTGGTTTTGTGTATAGCTAGACGGACGAGTAGGTAGGTACTCACCCTGAAGTCGTGTCCGAATTTATCCACCCCTCGCAGCAGATTTTGCACCTCTTCCTCGGTGTACTCGACGCGACGTCGACGTCGGCGACTACTTGTGGTCGACTGACAATCAAACGGAACACAGCTCAGGTCAGCGTGAAACACCGACGACTGTACAGTGAAAATTCAGATCCCGTTCACGAACAGTAAATTTCGAAAGAACATGGAGTGCAATACCTTCACACATCGCTGATTATGCAACGTTCTAAGGATGACGCACATACCATCATTGCTATGCTAATTGCAGGAATATTGAGCTGAGTTGTGATCCTCGACGACAACGTAAACGTAATGCTGAATATTGAAACCTGAGTCTACACTCGCGGTATCGAGACAGCAGGAGAGGCAGGGAAGACCACTCACCGCGCCGGATATCGAGGGAGTCCAGCTGCGCCGTCTCTCGGCCTTCTCGGTCGAGTCGGCCACGCTCGGCGAGGAGTCCAGCCAGCGCTGCACGCGCCGTAGCCGGTCACCACAGCCGCCGGGGGACAGTCCCACTGCTGCCCGCGGCGGCCGGCCGCGAGGCACCGCCGGCAGACCGGTCGGGGTCTCCCACCTGCCGTGGTCCATGGTTCGTGGCAGAGTTGGAGTCCGGACGACAGGAGTGCGGTGGGAAGAGCCAGGGTGCTGAAACTCGGGCTGGAGGCGCTGAGAAGTGTCCGCGTCGTCCTGACATCTATCGACGACCGGGCGAAGTGTCGGTTCGGTGTGGGAGCGGCGTGGTGTGGCAGCAGATACTTCTGCAGGTTTATTGACAGGCAAGTTATCCGCGGTGTCTGATTCGTCCCACCGCGGGTCGTCAGAGGCCTCGTCAGACGGGATACTATCAACTGTGGGCGACGGGCCACGGCGACGACTGTCTTTTCCGGTGGACATGTGCTGCCACCTATCCGAGACCGTTCCAGGCTTCGGTTGGCCTCCGTGCCGGAGCGGCGTCTTGGAGGCGTCACACTGCTGGGAGCTTCCCTCCAGATGTTGCTGCTCCTCCTCTGCTGGCCGGGGACCACTTGTTGAGGTGGCGACACAGCGCCGTCGTTTTCTGTCAGTCGCCGGTAAATGGCTGAGCGGGCGGTGAGAGCGCGCGTGGCGAATGATGCTGGGACTCAGCCGGCCGTGCTGAGGGGTGGTGAACTCGATGTGCGGCCGGTTACTGCTGTGGGCCGCCAGCAACTCAGAATCGTCCTCCTCATGTGATCTCTTCCTCACGTCAGGGTTCAGCGTCCGATGGTGCTCCTTCCGTCGGTGACCAGAAGTCGGGGTTCTCAGGAACTCGGTACACAGCAGATTCCGCTTCGATGTCGGCTTTGGGCACTTCAGCGGGCGTGTGCTGGCGTCCGGTGCCCCCCGAAGGATGGCACCGCGTGAAGCAGCGGCGGCGTTACTCTCGGCACACCGTCCGTCCCCTGCAGGCAGCCCATCCCGGCAGTGAGCCGTGCTGCGATCCCGCGTCCGGTCACCTCCTGTAACAGCGGGCGTCTCCGTCGGTTCCGCGTGTCCGAGAGTGGTCAGAGTAGCGACGGCACGGCCTGGCACACTGGCAGAGTCGGCGTGGCTGATGTCTCTCGATGACACCCGAGGTGCTGTCAAATAAAAACATTCCGTGACCCGTCATACACGTGCTCATAGATCCTCAGCTTCGTCCTGTCCGGAGTGGTGCAAAAAAAAAATTAAGTGCAGCTGAATAAAAAAACATAGTAAGACAAAGGCTAGATTTGTGTATAATCATAAGCAAAGAGCGAAATATTTCTTAGAGCCAGCAACAATCCAAGGAGCGCAGCATAAGGCACGCTGAGCTCCCCCGATACCTGATTTGCTATTAACAAACGACGTTGTCAAATTTGCAAGTATTTCCGACTGTAGTATAAGCCCATCTCAGCCAGAATCTAGTTTCAGCTCTCACCTTTCGGTTTCCGGCCGCTATGTTTGCCGGTGCCGCGGTCTAACACCGCCTCCAGGCGATCGGAAAACTCCATCAGCTGACAGGGTGCCGTATTGCGTAGTCGGTCGGCCGTCTCCGCTCGGCGCCGAAGCTCTGGTGACGAGGCCCCTGCGCCGGACTTATGGTGCAGCGGGCAGAGCAGCAGCCGAGGAGCCGACTGCGGGCCCGGTGGAGTCACGGGCACAGAACGGAGCGAGGTCCAGCGGTCGACTCTGACCAGCGAGCGGAGCGGGGCGCGGGCGAGATGTGCGTCTGCCATGACTTCGCCTGACGCTGGAAGCAAAAACCGGACCAAAGCAGATAGGTTAGGAACTCACTAGGAAGGTTGGTCAGTTTGGGTTGCACGCATACTATGTGTCATGAGTCGTCACCAAACGTTTTATCCGCCCACCTGAGGTAAGCAGATCAGCCATGCTCACGTTTCCGGTTACTGTCGAATCGAAAGGTAGGTACCCGCAAGGTACCCGTTGCACCATGCATGTTACATGAGTCAGACCAAAGTCAGAGTAGGTACCTATAACCTACCTTGACCCTATGAGTGGCGAGCACAAGCGAGCAGAGAATGCGCATTAAAAATGGATGCAGTAGAATGAGTCGACGCTTCCAGTTCTAATGAAAAACAGCGAATTAGCCCTTGCCCCTTACCGAAACATTTGGCGGCCATACCCAAATTGAAATGCTCAAAATTCAAATCGTCCAATAACCTGCCAATGCTGCCCAAGCTAATCGGTAGTCAAACCTTAGTTCAATCACTTCAATATACCCTGGTCGATGTTTTACCTTTATCCAGTCATCGTGCTTATATCATTCTCTGGTCCAACACATCCTACTCCTAAAAAACACGCAAATACGTGCGTCTGTTTTTGTTTTCGTGCAAATACGTTGACGTACGAGCATATTGCATAGGTACCATACCAATACACCAAAATTCTAACTTTTTTCAACAAACAATTCTAGAAAACCTGGAAAATCACAGAATACAAACACAAACAATAAAAAACTGATTTTCAAACCGGGCAGTGCCTTGAACCTGGTTTTAAAACAAGCTTTAAAACATATTTTGCATTATTTGTTTACAACTAGGTTCAAGGGGCTCAAGGTTCAAATTTGGTGAAAGCAGAAGAAATGCAGCGTGCCCTGAGCTTATAAAAATACCTAATGTTTGTTGATCCAGATATCCATAGTTAACTTAATTCATACCCAACAGCATAAAACATTTTTTTATAATAAATGAATCGTTTAACATTTTATTTTATATGCAAAAAGCAAACCGGTGGAAACTTCGAAGAATTTGTTATTTTCTGCTCACTAGGCTCGTCAATCGCCTTGTTTATTATTCATTACGTCATTGGACCATTTTAAGAAATGAAAAGAATGGTACTTTAAAATACGCCAATGCTTGGTGTTGAAATAAAGCGCAAACTGGGACATGCCTAAGAGCTGGACTTTTTGCACGCGTTCCCCGCCAGGGGGCGCCACTGAGGAAGCACCCTCTGACGTCACGATAAAACTGCGCGCACTGTGCGCACGGTTCTGTAAGCAAGTAATATAGTGGTGGTTTCATGGTGGAAATTGGAATAAGTATTTTGACGTTGTAAAATTTTAAGCCGTTTTTGTGAAATTAATTGGTAAATGCATTTCAAAAGTATTTATTTAAAGTGTGAAAGGAGAATAATTTGGAGAATATGGATATTTTTGTTCCAATAGCTTATTATGTGAGACATGATCGGTACTAACGGGTACTTCTAAGAAGTAGTGAAGAAGTACCAAACAGCCTGCTCGGCTACGATCGTCAGCTGTCCTTTGGAGCTGGACTTCAACGCTGTAAAAAAAATATGTGCTGAATTAATTTTTAGTTTCACCAAAATATGAGCAATTTATCATTTCTTTTTCATTTTTGTAATTATTGTTGAGTGAAGAGATATGTTGCTAGTTCTGACAATATAAATTATTAATTAAAAAAACGAAATGCGACGGTAAGTATCTGCTACTAAATTATCACTAAAACCAAATACATGAAGAATCTTGCTACCATTGCTTATAAAACGTGCTTATCAATACACAAATGTTTTATTTCAGACGAGAAGGATTCATTTGCCTGAAGTCTTGCGTCATGTGCTACTGCTTTGATTCCAAAGACGCTCTCCGGGTCGGGGTAATTTAGTTCTTCATCGATCGATAAGATTTTGATTCCATTGATATCCAAATTTCCCACAGCCGGCAATGGGAATCTCCTGTCGGTGTAAACGCCACGATAGTCCCATCCAACTCAAACACTGGGGAATATCCCCGCACTTTTGAGGACGGAAATCTATGGACCTGCTCGAAAAATAGTGGATAAGATACGGCGAGTTTTATGGTTGGGTCTCCCTTCCGAGGCACATATTTACGGGGGATATTGGGTCATATTCCCCCGGTCATATTCCCTGTGAAGGTGCCCAGGTTGCTGCCGCTCGAATTTTGGTCGCCTACTTAACAAAACCTCCGTTGGTGCCATCTCAGTTTCCTCGAGGTCAGGCAACCTTCACACGCCGTTGGCTACCTTGGCTGGCCGGCGACTCGTTCCCCTCGTGGCGACGCTCTTGACATCCAGTCAAAAGTTGGAGTGGCTGGCGCCCCCAGTGGGGGCCGGGGAAGGGGCAGTGGGCCTCCACGTTGCTCTCTTCCCGAGCCTATGGTGACTTGGCTCAACTCTCCTCAATAGAATCTGGATTCTGCACGCTGTATTAACATGGGCGTAGACACCACTACGGACAATACGGACAGTGGGTGTGACAATCAGTAGTGCCATTCATATAGAGGGTGTCATATATGAGCGGAGAGGCAACAGTACAGCTGAGCGGAGAGACAACATTAAAACAACAGTACAGCTGGCGTTGCATGGAGCTGCAGGCAACCGGACAGCGGAGGCTTGCGAAAAATAAACAATTCGTCACTTCAACGTATAAACAATAGTATAAAAAGCAACATAAACACATATTCTCATGGTCGTACCCATGCACTAGCGGCTCACGGCGGGCACAGGCACGCAGTGTGGTAGCGGTACCGGATCACACGTCATGGGCGTTGTCTCAGCATAGGTTGTTATGAGCGGAGAGGCAACAGTACAGCTGAGCGGAGAGACAACATTAAAACAACAGTACAGCTGGCGTTGCATGGAGCTGCAGGCAACCGGACAGCGGAGGCTTGCGACGGGTACAGGCACGCAGTGCGGTAGCGGTACCGGATCACACGTCATGGGCGTTGTCTCAGCATAGGTTGTTATGAGCGGAGAGGCAACAGTACAGCTGAGCGGAGAGACAACATTAAAACAACAGTACAGCTGACGTTGCATGGAGCTGCAGGCAACCGGACAGCGGAGGCTTGCGAAAAATAAACAATTCGTCACTTCAACGTATAAACAATAGTAAAAGCAACATAAACACACATTCTCATGGTCGAACCCATGCACTAGCGGCTCACGGCGGGCACAGGCACGCAGTGCGGTAGCGGTACCGGATCACACGTCATGGGCGTTGTCTCAGCATAGGTTGTTCGCAATCTAGTTGAAGCCTAAGAAGACGGCCAGTGGGGTCTCACTGATGCTGAGGCGACCTCGGAGACGATGCGTCGCCCCTCCTGTCGGCGACCTGCGGTGAGCAGGACTCCAGATAGCTGTCTGGCACGTTGCCGACACTGCCAGACGCTGTCAGCAGGCCTCACTTCTGCAAGTGATGTGCAGATGGACGCCAGGTGACTTCGTCTGCAGGCGATTCCGGAGACCGCGGCCTCACCAGGCAGTACCACCTGCATCGCCATGTCGGTGTTTCTAGAAATGGAAAAATAACAGTATCGGTGAAGGACAAGCAATACAATGTATTCTGTTTTCCTCTCTTGCAGGTATACGTAATCTACAATTATCATTGTTCCTATTTCATTCAACTGAACCTGAAAATTCCATATTGGCACATTGTTTGACTAAATCTGTGTAGTTGGAAACAGGGGCGACGCCACGGTGCGACGACTGGAGGGGACATTGACCATTTTGGAGGGGCTCGGACCATTTCAAGTTGATTCTTTCCATGCAACGCCATAGGCGTAATGTTAAAAATTTTAAAAAGTGGAGGGACGAGATCCCCTCCGTCCCCCCCCCCTGTGGCGACGCCCTTGGTTGGGAAGCAGATTGTTTGAAATACATGTTTGGCTGAACAGTGCAGAAAATATTTCATTGATCACTATAGCTGCAACAAAAAGACTGAGACAGAAAACATTTGCGCTTACCTGGCTCCTTAGACAGTCCCGCGCAACGGAAGTGGTACCATTTATCACAGCCGTCGCATCTGACCATTGGTGCTGCACTGATGCTGCTGCACTCCCCACATTCCCAGTACATTAGGAGCGTGTTGGCTGTGAAAAGATTACATGAGTCATGGCGCATACATGAATAGTAAGATGTTTTATATGTTTAACATCGCATAGCAAAGACAAAACAGCTGGGAGTCAAGTGTAAGCCAAAGTGTAAGCCCTGCCATGTTTTGCAGACTGGATTTTAAGCAAGAAAAGCTTTGCTAAAAATGACGCTTGACGAAGCCTCATCCTACTGGGCTGTCTGACATGTCTCCCTGTAAAAAGCATGTGGCCCTTATATTGTATATATGATGAATATGTTAATAATGCAGAGAAAACACAGTATAAATTATACCCAACGTTTCATCTTAATCGACTTTGTCAAGGGTGTTTGAACAGCTTGAGATGAGTGAAGTGTAAGGGTACCTAGGTACATCTGAAAATAAACTGAATCTGCGTTCAATAAACATTGATTTTGATAATACATTTCACAACTCAACTGCTAATAAGTTAGCACGACAGATAACTAACAATCGCATGAAGAACTTCTTGATTCGCCTTGACATCACATTGTCGTCCGAACGATGCGATGCGATGCGATGGTTATCGGAGGTTTAGCCTTTGTATCGGCACCTCCTTGAGTTCTTAAACTTTAACTTTTACTTTGATCGATGGGTTGCATTGTTATGGTTGGTTTGTGTGGCTAGGATTCTCACTAGGGGACAGGATTGGGTGTTGGGAGGATGAAGGTCAATTAGGATGGAGAAGTTTGTTTTATTTCCAGCAGTCTTCTTTTCTTCCACAGCTTAAGCAATACTTCTTTCTTTTCTTCGATATCTTCCTCCTCAAACAGAAACATCCCTAAAATATCCTTTGCATAGGGTTTCTGAAGATGCATTGATTCTTGTCTTTCTTCTTCATAAGCTGGGCAATTCAATATAAAGTGGGCGAGGTCTTCATTTTCTGCATTGCACATCATACATCTCGAACATATGTTGTCTGAAGTTACACATTTGTTTTTTCTGCGCAGCATTTGTGTTTGCCATTTACCGCACTAAATGTTCGCCAGCGGTGGTGACTTTTCCTTACCTGCTCACGAAACGTCACACACGACATGACGTCACCCGAAGACGTCATCAAAAAGTCCAGCTCTTAGGCGTGTCCCGCAAACTGCCGCGGTGTTTTTGTCGTTATTATCATTTATCATTCATTTATCATCTTGTTGTTCATCGAATTGCTTCTTGGCTTGCTTTTTATCACATTCGTTACCAGTGTTTGAGTTTCTGTTGTCTCCTGCTCTCCACACGCTCAAAAATACCTACCAGGTAATTCAGGTTTTTTCATGCTCTAGGTAATTTTGCAATGTATATATTTATATACCTCTTTTTCGTTTCAGTTTTTGAATATAAAGTCGACCCAACGATTATGCCGTTTACTTAACTTCATTAATATTTTGACTTCACAGTGCCTGCTTTGCTGAAAAGCTAATAAAGGCAAGGAAACAATTATGTCATAAATCGGGCCATAGGCCATAGCAGTTGGGGAAACTACGAGGCGAATATCAAAAAATTGATTGGTCAATAAATGGACTTTTGATGACCATATATTATATGGGCATAAATGCAGCCCCCGCTACTAAGGGTGAAAAACGGTATAACTTAGTCAGAACTTGTGGTATCGAGTCTACTTATTGGAGAGAAAAGGCTGCCATTTTCCACTAGGAATTAGCGTGATTTGATTAAATTCGACGAATTGACTCAAAAACGGCGATAGAAAACGGCTTTTCTGCAGGTTCTGGGTGTCACAATCAGCTGTCCAATTCAATGAATGGATTGGTGTTTTGAAAGAAAATTGTTAAGATTTAATTTAATTACCGTAAAATGGGGTGTTAAGGGACAGTGGGGTGCTAAGGGACAGTTGCATGGGAAAAACTTTGAGTCATATTAACTTCCAAATTTGAGAAGGTTCAATAAAAACTTCAGTGTGGTAGTTGACACTGTTTTGCTCTTGACCATAGGACAAAATGGTATGGTTTTTCATGCAAGTGATTTGGTTCAAAAATGGATTTGAAAATCATGCTACATTTTCAGAAAATTGAAACATCTCCAAAACTCTGTGTGTACCACATAAACTAGTGGGTGTACAGGGAAAATGAATGCATAGGTGTATTGTCACATGTATTGCACATGTTTCCTGAAAAACTTATGCAAATCCACCCATTCATTCATCATCCTCTTCCTCTTTTCCGGATACATGCATATTTTGAGGTGGATGTGGGGTGCTAAGGGACAGGGAATAAAAAATAAAAAATAATATCTAAATATAATTTCATTAAGTTTTCTTTCAGTAGGCATGGAAAACACCAAATTCCACATAAAATGCTGGCGAGTTCATGCTTTTATCTCTAACACATCTTAAGTTATGTAACAAAACATCTCAACACTCTTTTACAATGGTGGGTCAATGGAGACTGATGTAGGTAAATGTGATGTCATCATAAAAAGGCTAAAATAAAGAGAGCAACATAATGACAAGTGACTAGCTTCAACATGGGTTTTTATTGATGACAGAAGGGTATTTTTTGGTTCTGTTTACCTTATAATTAGCACATTTTCCACAAGCGTAAACTTCATTACACGTAATTGGATAGAAAGGTCATTAGTAGTGAATGAACCTGACTTGTTTTGTGACAGAATATGCAAAACATTTCAATAAATAAATTGTGTGCCCTTCCACACCCCAATTGTGGGCATTTGATGCCCATTTCTTGGAATAATATAGGTGTCCCTTAACACCCCACATTGGGGTGCTAAGGGACAGTGATGAAATATAATAAAAAATAATATGCAGGTATAAATCTTAAAAACTTAAATGTGGCAGGCATGTAAAGCACCAAATTCCACATAAAATGCTGACAATTTGATGCTTCTATCTCCAACCCTTCTTGAGTTATATAACAAAACACCTCAAAATTGTCCCTTAACACCCCGTTTTACGGTACAATAAACAATGATATTTGATTTTTAAATAATAACTTAACCACAGTTAGAAAAACCATAAAAAATAAAAAAATAATGATATTCTTAAACCACGGTACTGCTTACTTTTCTGGCGCGTCTGTTTCAATCCGCCATATTTGCCAATCACTGATTGACCTTGCGTTGTAACTCTGCGATTTAGAGCCACCAGTTAATTGTGCACCGAGTGAGTGTGGGCCTTGTGTGGTTAAAAAACATTAGGTATTATGCCTTATTTTTTCATTTGAATGCTAGGATGCATTGAAAAGATGAAGCTGTCTGATTTTATGACCATATATGGTCATCGCTCCGCCCACTCCAGCCGCTGATTGGCTAATCCAATTTTTGTTTGGCTCCTCGTAGTTTCCGCAACTGATAGGGGCATAAATCAGCAAGGCATGCATTCCAATTCTCTGCAAGGCCCTTCGGAATGAGTAATGGAATATCTTCATCTAGCGTGATCGTTGGGCAGTAAAAGCGGTGGAGTGAACTATTTCCTTTAAGGTACCTACCTTAACCCTGGCATTTTACATTTTTACAATGTTCACCCAGTCAAGTTTGCAGGTTTCAGTACCTACCTAGCCGTTTGGGAGAGGTGCCCTCAGTTGGGGCATATTTTGCAATCGCAGCAATGGGGGTCACCTATTACCAGAAAATAAATAATAAGCATTGTCAAAATAAAAGTGCCACAACTTATGTTGTGATCTCCAAAAATGTGCTCTCAGGCCACCTGTCCCTAATGCCTATTGCCTACCCGAGTTTGGTGTCTACATTCAGGCTTTATTTAGTTTTGTGTCCAATCAATCTGTATTTTAACATTAGTTCTTCCATTTCAGCAAACCAGCATGGCTGATAAGCTGGTAGAAAAGTTGGCTGGAGCGACACTTGATACCACCGCCACCACACTCAGCTTTGCAAACAGGAATTTGAAACTTGACTCTGAAGAAGATGGTGAGTTTGATTGCTTGGTATTTAGTGCGAGTGACTGTTCCTTTTTGTTTAGTTGAATCAATTATATTAGTACTATTTGATAATTCTTCTGGCTAAAATTTATTACGAGCGAGCGAGCGCAGCGAGCGAAGCGAGTCTTTTCAATATAACGGAAAAATCTCAGTATGAGCGGCCCGGCCCGGCCTGTAACGCTTTTGAGAGGCTTATATCTCAGCAACCGCTGGACTGATTGGCCTGCGGTCTTTTTTGCTGGGTAGCCCCATCCCTTCTACTTCGTAATTGACTACTTTTGATACATCTCAGTGACCGTCGTGGCACGTGCCACGTGAAAAGTCAAGGGTGTTCAAGCTGTTTTGCAAAAGTAGTGATTTTGAGAGGCTCATATCTCAGCAGCCGCTTGGGCGATTGACTTGCGGTACTTTTTATAGGGTAGCTGCATCCTTTCTACCAAAAATAGGATACTCTCGATGCATGTGGGTCACCCCCAGTGCACGTGCAAAATACAACAATAAGAGATGTCAAATTTGTTCCCCTTTTAATAACTCGGTAATTACTGGGGCGATTTCGCTGAAACTTGGCATACAGGTAGGCACCCACCGGGCAATGCATTCCCATATGTTGTGGTTAGGGTGCTACTGCACGTGCGCACGTGCAGGGGGCGTTTCCAGATCTCGAGAACGGCTGGGTCGATTGCGCTCAAATTTGGTACACGGTTGGAGACCGGTTAGTAGGGTGCCGTGCAAAAGTCATTTTGGACCCCGTTTGCACGTGCGCACGTGCAGAATGCCGCTTCCAGATCTCAGGAACGGCTGGGCCGATTGCGTTCAAATTTGGTACACCGCTAGCGACCGGTTAGAAGGGTGCTTTGCGCAAGCCCGTTGGAAGTACCCTCTCGCCCTTCCGCACGTGCAGGGCTCACTATCTCGCTCGCTCGTTCTTCGCCCAAAAGGCGTTTTACTGTTTGTTGTAAATTAACACAATTCTGTGACTTTTCTGTGAAATAATGTAATTGCTACCATGCAATCAATAAGGCAAGCAAGGGCTATGCCATTCGTTCCTTAAACCCTCTCTGACTTACAAGACTTTCTACACTACCTGGTTGTTTGATATCTGACTTTTTTATCAGTTTTGTGTATGATTTGTACAAACCATGCTAATTTAGTCCCTTGAAGTTAGATTGTTGCTATTAACCCGCACCATGCTGGTGGTCTGAGTTTTCTGTGTCATAGTGTGGGGGGGGGGTTGTTTTCAGCTCCCTCCTAGCCCCCCCCCCCCCATCTAACTCGGCTCCTGGGCAACATAGTGATACGCGGTAAGGGGTATCGGAAGAGCATCCAAAATCAGGACGAAAATAATTTGGTCATTGTTTAGGTCAGGTCAAAGGTCCAGTCACCCAAGGTCACCAGAGGTCAAGTTTTGCCCATTTCAGCAATTGTTGACAAATCTATAATATCGGGAGTCATAACTCATAATAACTCGGTCATAACTCGGGAGTCGATAAAGGTACAGCGCTGCGTAAAAGCACATTTGATAGCTCTGTTACCGCTCTTTCTGGAACATAGCCTCAGCTTTGGCCTAAAGTCAACGCTTTGACCTCCAGAGGGCAAAAATTAGATATAGCCATTCCACGAAAAAAAAAGTTGTTTGCAATAACTTTTGCCTGACATTACTTTTGCCAGCATCGTGTTCCTGTCGTCAACACGCGTCGAATGAACTATAATTTGACCTTGAAAGGTCATTTTGAAAATTTGACTTCAGATTAAGGTCATAACCTGGCCGGAAAAATATCAGTCGATTCGTATCGTTGAACTGAACACATCTGAGGTGTTTTCATCGCTGTAACATGTCTATCAAAAGCTATTGTCAAAAAACTGGTGGGGGCCTTTCATGACCGGAGATGACCTAAGGGGCATAGAGTGCCGTTTACGGGTGCCGTTTTCCGATTCGGTGTGTCATGTTTACATGTAAACCTATGTTTGAGAGTGTTAAGAACGAAACTCGTTCAAAAGAGGCGCCTTTCAAGTTTCTCACATTGCCTTATAATACAGAGGTCGCAAAATTGACCTAACCTTAGGTCACAGAATACAGATACCAAAATTCCGACATATGCAGTTTATACATGCTGTTGCTTTTAGCAAGCACTGAAAGTTTCAAAGCGATCGTTCAGTCGCTGTTGCTATATAATGAGCATTGTAACTTTTTCTGAGGTAAGGTCACTTGACATGAACTGGTGACCTGATCTTGAACGACACGGTGGTTTGCAATTCTCGCAACATGTGCAGAAAAGATGCATGATAAGGTTTGCTAATTTTTTTTTATACATTCTTGAAAAACCTGCGGGGGCGTAAAAATGCCCCCCCCCCCCCCCCCCAGCACGGCGCAGGTTATTGCTGTATCTAGACGATTTCTTAAATGCTCGATCTGTTGCTATTCTTTTTTGTCGCTTCCGACTGTAGAACTAAGTTTTCATCTTTTTTCAGCCAAGGAGATCACTGATGCAATTAAAAATTTTAAGAGCCTCAAGTCTCTGGTCCTGGAAGGCAACACCCTAGGTATTGGTGCTGCCAAAGCAATTGGAAAAGCTTTGGAGAGCCATCCAGAAGTACAAGAAATTCACGGAAAGGATCTCTTCACAGGAAGACTGAAAACAGAGATCCCACAGGCACTGGTGAGGATAAATTGCTATCCCTAAATCATCTGATATTAACCAACTTTATGAGCATGAATCACGATGGTTTGCTGTGGCTCAGCTGTTCATGCTGATGACTGCATGGCACTGATTGTTGGGCGGCGGCCGAGACTGGGGTGATAGGTGCGCCAGTGGTGGGACAGTCTGTGGTGGTGGGGACTGGTGGTGGTCGGTATTGGTCCGTTGGGGGTCTGTGTCCTGCACATGACTGGCCAGCACAGCCGCCGCTTATCTGATATTGTACATACACAGTGTCACAGCAAGCGGCACACCCAAGTCACCAGCACCAATGAATCATGCACTATGGTGTTATCAGCTTGACAACCTGTTCATTGTATATCATGGGTGTCATAATTGCATGATGTGATATACAAGGGCATTATGATCGGTAACAATACATATGCTATCATGCATATGCTAGTATATTTTGACAGCTTAGTAACTGCTTTGAAACACCTTACTCTTCAGATTAAGCACCTGTGCCAGGCATACTAAAACGAAAGTCAACTTATTGTCCCTTATTTGTCTGACACCCACCAATTGCTCTAACTCTTTGGTGATGTTTGTTGCATATCTGCGTGTGTGTAAGTCACACACACGCTTCCATGTGTGGTTGCGGTGTCGGGAGGCATGCGGGACGGCGCACTAAGCCACTGCTGGTGTCTAACGATAACCCTAACACCTCTCGCCCGCCCCGGACAGAGCTACATCGGCAATGGTCTTATGCTGGCTGAGGCCGAGCCAGAGCCCAATGGAGGCTCACCGGTAAGTGGTCTGGCCGGTGCTGGCGGCGCCTAGCCGGCTCGGCTGGCATTGTCTGCTGGGGACAGGTAGGGACAGCAGGCGTACACAATTACACTTGTGGTGCAGGAAAGTGGGGGAAGCTGACGGAACGGCTGGGTGATGAGAAAATTAGGCAAGTAGTTACAATGATGCTTAGATGCAGTTGTGCCTTCCACGGAAATTTATGACCGGGGTATATCAGGTTTTATTTGGACATAGTTATTAGGTATATGAGGCCAGGAAAACGTACGAACGGTAGAACATACCGTCGTGGGGTGAGGTAATTGTGTTGCATGTGGTTGCAGGTTTGGTACTGTATTGCTGATTCACAATAAGTAGCCACTTTGCACCTTGACTGCTTGGCGTTCTACTTAATCATTCACTTGCGCCTACGTGGTTCTTTTAGCTTCGTCTTTTACCCAGCTGTGTTTCTGTATGCTGTCTAATATGTTCATCGTGCTTTGAGATGATGATCAATGATCATTGCGTCGCTATCAGATGTTTCAGCATGCATCAGTATTTTTGCTAGCTGTATGTGCTTGTTTGGTTTGTATAGAAATTACACTGATGTAGCATTATTATTCCCCCAATGAAATATAAAATTATTGCCGTTCTTATTACATCATTGTTTGTGTGAACCGACTTCTAAGTTACAGGGCTCATTTATAAATTATCACTATTAATCTAGCAGCTGCCGTAGATTATGAAATATATCAGTCGTAATATAGGAAACGTGAAACCTGGAAAGGAGAGGGACTGTGCTATCGCTGGATCTTCGTAGGACAGCTGTCTCTCAGTACCACTTACCACCGACGTTGTCTCCCACCCATCCCCCGCCCCTGACCGTACCCCTCCCCCTCAGACGCACGTGGGCAGCGGTCTGATGCTGGCCGGCGCGCGGCTCACCGTGCTCGACCTGAGCGACAATGCCGTCGGTCCGGTCGGCATGGACGGCCTGCACGTGCTGCTCACTAGTCCGGTGTGCTACACGCTGCAGCGGCTGCTGCTCAACAACAACGGATGGGGACCCACCGGAGGAGTGGTCAGTGGCGGCGGACTCAGGGAGACGGGGGAGGACTGATCGCCGAGGAAGGGGGCTTAGTAGTCGTTGACGGCGGTCCCAGACTCCAAGCAGCCGGAGTAGCTGGTCTAGGATTAGTGCCATTGGGTATTCGTGGTTAAGTATGATGTCAGCCGCACAGTGATTTATTTTGCCTGTTCAATATTTGCCTGTTTTTGGGTTTTGTCGTCGAAGGGTCCAGAATTGCAAGTCAAAAGAATAGCTCAAGGGTTTTGACTTTTGAGTGATATGATTATGAACCAGTCTCAGGATTGTATCGCAAATCGTATCGTAAATCGCATCTCAGGTTTGTAAGTCCGTTAGTGTGTAATATGACCGAGAATATTACACGACTGAAAATATGTGTCGTAGCTGGTGCGTTGCGTGACTGACTGTGCCTCCCCACAGCGTCTGGCCGACTGTCTGATTGAGTGCCACGAGCGCAGCGTGCGTGACGGCACCCCGATGAAGTTGCGAGAGTTCGTGTCCGGCCGCAGCCGACTGGAGAACCCGGGCGCTCTCCGGCTGGCCGAGTTCTTCAAGGTTAGTGGTGTGTCGGCTGAATGACTGACGTGATGTTTGAACGTTGTGAGTTATACAATAATGCATGGGACAGAGTCAATAAATTTGTTACGAGCATTGATCTTCGCAGTCACGTGCCTTCATTGCTTCTTTCCCAAGTAAGGTGCAAATCACATCCCAAGGAAGAGACTACGATCTTTGACTCATAACTTTCAAACGCTTGTCAAGTCGGCGACTGAATAGTGACAAAGTTGTAGTCTCCCAATCTCAAGTGATTTGGTCTCACTCGACTTTCATGTGTCCCCTCCCTGACCACCTTGTCTCCCTCGTTTCCCTGCAGCGTGTGAAGACGATGGAGAAGGTGGTGATGCCGCAGAACGGCATCTACCACGAGGGTGTTCAGGCGCTGGCCGAGGCGCTGAGCGAGAACCCGGCCCTGCAGCATCTGGATCTCAACGATAACCTGCTCACACCCAAAGGTAACGTCAGACTCGGGTGGGAACGGTGCGGCCGGCTGGTGGGCTGATTGGACCTTGGAAGCCCATAATAAACTGAGTTCTGATGTGTGAGAAACTGGTGTTGTGGTTCGACTTCGATTTCACCGCTCGGCAGTTTAGAACTGATTTTTCGGTGGACGTTTTGCGTAGACTAGATCTTACCATGTCGTCTAATCACTCAATCACAGTTGCGGTAGATAAAATTGAGTCATTCCGTTCTCTCGATGTTTATCCCTAACATGTCTGTCCTTCGACCGGCAGGAGCGCGGGCTCTGGCCAAATCGCTACCCAAAATGGAGGAGCTGCGTGTGCTCAACTTGAACGACTGTTTACTGAGGGCGGCCGGAGCGCGAGCCGTCGCCGCCGCCATCCGCGGCAACAACCCCAAACTGGAGGTACGTCTATTGCATCGGCGGCTAGGTTGGGCTGTGAGCGAGACTTCGACCACTTCTACTAACATTGGCGAGAAGCTCACGGAGTCAGCTATCGACTGCGACTGGGCTTTAGACACTTTTCGATGGGTCAGGGGCGGTTCAGGTCAGTGGAAAGATAACCGGTTCACGTTGTACTAGCAGCGTGAATCGCGACTGTACCCATCTGGTCTGTAACGTGGCTTGTGCTATGGTATTTATCTCGCCTTGACGTCGAATGCTCCTCTGTATTTACTATTTATACCCCTCATCTGCCTCCCTTCTCTCGACCCGCAGGAGCTGCACCTGGCGTTTAACGAGGTGACACGCGCCGCGGCCGTGGATCTGGTTGAGGCAGCCGCCGGCAGGGAGTCCCTCTCACTGGTCCATCTCGACGGAAACCAGCTGGGAGAGGAGGGCATTGAGGCCGTGCGAGACGCCGCGGCCGCCGCCGGCCTGGCGGACACACTCGGCGGCTTCAGGTAGGGACGGTGTGTCGTGAGGGCGGGAAGGAACGCCTTTCGTGCGTATGTGTCTTTGGTGAGATGTTTGGTTTGCCTGTTTTGACTGTCTAGTGTCTATGTATGTGTGGTGTGGGGTGAGGACTGAGGAGTGAGGTGCTTGCTCCTGACATCCTCAATCCTCCTCCTGACGCCGTGCTCCAGTGAGGATGAGGACGAGCCAGACTCTGACGAGGAGCAGGATGAGGAAGAAGAGGAAGAGGAGGACGGAGAGGGAGCTGAGAGCGAGGGAGAGCATGTCTCACCCATGAAGAGAGAGGAGGCGGCTGCCGCCAAACGTCCCGGTATCACTCCGATTCAGGTGACGGTCTATGGTGACAGCGTGCACAGTGGTTGCTACAGTTCGCTTCAAGCGTTTCAATGCATTAGTTTGTAAATTCCACATGAGCTAATGTGTATTCCTGTTTGCTAGGCTCATTGGAAGACAGAAGTTCAGACTAGATAATTTATGTATTTTGTGTAGGACAGCTTAAGCTGTTCTGCTTTTAGGCAAAATGTCATTTGATTAATTTTTCCTTGTTTGCTGACGCTAAAAAGAAGTAGGCTTAGCTGTGCCTCTCCCGGTTTTCGTTTTCCTGTCCCTCTGATCTCGTTTTCTGACCGTCTCCCTTCGCCCCACCCTCGCCCTGTCAGTGCACGGTGGCGGAGTTCCTGTGTCAGCCGACGGCGGCCCGGCTGCTGGGGCTCGGCGACCAGCGGCAACAGCTGCTCACCAAGGAGGCGCTTAACGTAAAGGTAAGCTGTCCCCATATTATTATAGTGCTGAGTCCTCCGGGCTTTGTCTATCAGAACCGTCCCGTCCCGGCCGCTGTCTGAACCACAGTCTGATATTGTTCGAACAGTGGGACCATTGTCGATCTATTAAAGGCTGGTATGATTTCGGAAAAGTAAGTCACGTTATAGCATGTGATGCTGTCCTCTTATCGCCACTCCAGGAAGAGTCGGACTGGTTTGTTAAGGCGATATCGGATAATCGGAAGGTGGTGCAATGTTGTCCTTGTTTATTGTGCCTATCTCGTCTCGAGGAAAATCCACTGATGGGTGACTATCAGGTTGGAGTGCAATGGGTTTGATAACAAGGCCCGAGCCGAAAGAGTGCTTCGGTGATTGCCTGTTTGCTGATAGTCTCGTTGCACTTGCAGCAGCATCGCACATATTTTTACTATTCGTTTCGGCGTCGGAACAAAAAGCGAAGAAGTTACATGCCTGTCGTAACGCGAACAAAGGCTCAATTACAGAGCGTTATTGCAATTTCGCCTCTTGCCAATGCCTTATTAACTGCATTCCGTCTGTCTCTGTACCGACTCACGTGTATACTCGTCTGCCGTCTGAACCTTCGCTCACGTGTTTCTCATCCTCATCCGCCCGCCCCCAGGAGATCGGCGACGGCCGGTGCGCGGCCGTGCAGCGCCACCTGCAGCTGCTCTCGGCCGTGTGTAGAGTGGACGCCAGCCAGCCGCCGGTCGACCAACTCCTGCCGCCCCTAGTGGACGCCCTCCTGCGCAGCGCGCTCGACACCGCCGGGGAGGACCTGGGACTGCTCTCCAACTCGCTGCTCGTCTACCTGGGACTGATCAAGGTGCGTTTTATGCCGCGATGTTTTACTGTGTCGCCGGTGCTTCGCTGGTTATGAGTGAATCGGTTTCATATATGGAATTCCACGCTCATACAACATTCTTGTCTACCACCCTTGCGAAAAAAATGATGTCACTGCAGCCATGGCGGAATCCGAAATAACGTCTCTTAGACCTCCCTGTGTGCAATGTGTGATTCCCGATGAATCCACTAATCACTAGACCGTGCGTTTTCTGACACTCCCTGTTTTCAGTGCGAGGACAAGCAGTTCTCTGTGAGCTGGGACGTCAAGGGCATGCTGGTGGCTCTGACGCGGGCGGTGCGTCAGCCCTACTTCCCGGCCACCGTCCGGGACACGCTGCAGACATTCCTGTCCAGGTGAGACATCCCACCGGCTGTCTGACCAGAGTACTGCCGACATTTTTGTCTTTCAGGGACACACTACATAGTGCATACAAATGTATCCAAATGAGAGACGCATGGCGAGCTTTTGGTTGCGTGTGGTGCTCGGAAAAATTCTAGCTCTGATTCATGGTAAAACTTCTTGCACCTGTTCCAATATATGGCTGGCCGGTAACCGTGTCAGTATTCATCCACGCTGTTCGTTAGTTTTGAATTTCAGGTGACACGCATGACGCACGTCGCATGCCGTTGACATGCGAAATATTGAATGAATCCCAGCTCCCTCTGACCCCGCGTCTCCGTCCGGCAGGCCCAACAAGACGGTGGACGTGCACCCGCAGCAGAAGCACCTGTTGATGCAGGCGCTGTTCCAATGACGGGCCAGCCGCGCGCCCAGCAAACGCTTCGTACTGTACACCATCATGTTCACATCGTCCGCACCGCGCCCGTCATGCCAAATACACTCGTGACTCGAAAACGCAGGTGTTTCGTTTGACTAGGAATTAATGGTCTGATGCCAGCCTGTATGACGTTCGATGGGACGACTGATGAACCATGTTATCATAACAGACCGGCATTAGAACAAAACGATCGCTTGTAACAAGGGTTGTAAAAAGGCGCACCCTATACCGGGTTTCTCTTCTCGTCTGGCGAGGACGGACAGACTTAGGCATTACATAACAAGAAACCTAGCCCGGTGCTGAGGAGCGGACATTCCAGCACACAACTCTTCGCCCTGTCATACTACACACTGGCTCGCCTCCGGATCATCCCCGAGCAGCTCGTTGGGCGCCGACGGCGGGTCATGCTGCCGGGCAAACTCCTGTAGGGTGGTCCGCTCCAGCGGCCGGCCGTGGAGCACCTCCGAGCTGGCGCCAGTCACCTCGACTGCCACATACTGACCGGCGGCCAGCGGCGCGCCCGCCCACCGGCGAGGAACGATCACCTTCACATTGGCGTCGTTCCTGCCGAGCAGGGAGTCGGGTGAGCGCGGGCTGGGCCGCTCGAGCAGGACCAGCTGAGTGCTCCCCACCTGGCGCGTGTTCAGCTGCTGCGCCATGGCTCGGTACAGGCGCGCCATCTCGGCCACACGACGCTGCTTCTCGGCGGGAGGCACGTCGTCGACCAGGCGGTGGTGAGCGCGAGTCTTCTCCCGCCGGCTGTAGGCGAACAGGAAGCAGTACTGGTAGCCCACTTCGCGCATCAGACTCAGTGTCTCTTCAAAGTCGGCCTCTGTCTCGCCACAGAAACCGGCGATGAAGTCGGAAGTCAGCGCCACGCCGGGCACCATGCGGCGGACATGGCGCACCAGCTCCAGGTACGCCTCACGCGTATAGCCTCGCCGCATGTCCGCCAGCACTCTCGAGCTTCCCGACTGAGCCGGCAGGTGCAGACAGCTGCACACATTTGGTCGCTCGGCGATCACCCGCAACACCTCGTCCGGAAAGTCTTTGGGGTGTGGTGAGGTAAATCGCACACGCATCTCTGGGTCCACGTCAGCCACGGCTGAGAGTAGGTCAGCGAAGCGCGTGCCGCCCGTTTTAGGTCTGTACACTGTGCTGAAGCCGGCCGCCAGTCGCGTAGCCTTGGCGCTATTACGTGAGCCACTCATATCCCGGTAACTGTTCACATTCTGTCCTAGCAGCGTCACTTCCCGCACGCCCTGCTCTGAAAGTCGTCGCACCTCCTCCACTACAGAGTCCAGGGGACGGGACCGCTCTCTGCCGCGAGTGAACGGCACGATACAGTACGTGCACATGTTGTCACAGCCACGCATTATTGTCACATAGGCGGCCGGCGCGTGCGGGTCCAGCCGCACCGGCTGTACGTCCGCGTACGTTTCCTCCAGGGAGAGCTGCACGTGCACGGCCGCCCCGGCGTCCTCCGGCTGAGCCAGGAGGCGCGGCAGGTGGCGGTAGCTGTCCGGCCCGGCCACCAGGTCTACGCCGACGTCTGCCTCGACCAGTCGCTGCCGCAGGCGCTCGGCCATGCAGCCCAGAACGCCCACCTGGCGGCGGGATGGTCAGTCAGACGGCCGGCGAAAACACTGCACCGGAACAATACATACGTACCGCCGGGCGAGACCGGGAACGGAACGGATGGAAAACAGGAGTAAAGGCCGCCCCACACTGGACCTCGCATGCGGGTTACGGGTTTTTGGATTTTCGGGTTTCTTCAAAATTAAATAATACAATCTATGCTGAGTGTCCCACACTACCATCTAACAAGCGAGTCTGGATGTTTCTAGCTTGCGAGCTACCTTGCATCGCATTCCAAAAGTTGGTTTTGAGTCAACTTTCGATTTTCCTCGCTGCGAGGTCTGCGAGTTCTGCGAGGTCTGCGAGTTTTTCGTTGGAGTCTAATTTTGGTTCGTTGTGCTGGTATTGCGACAATATGTAACTTTCTGAAGGTGTACCGGGTTCACTGCATTCGTGGAGTAACCATAAGGGAACGGTGTAATCACTCTATGAATTAGCATTATGCCCTCAAACTCAAAACCCGCAAACTCGCAACCCGCATGCGAGGTCCAGTGTGGGGCGGCCTTAAGACAGATTATCTTAAGGCGGCAGATAGCGCAAAGTTCGTGTTTCGATTTAAGCGAAGAATTGAGCAATTTCGCACCGGCAAATGGCGTCCAGTTTAAGCCCTGACCAACCTTTAGATGTAATTTACTCGTGACTCGTATCGATCACGTTGATAATGCACACCATGCAAACAATCCAGCTACCATTCAGACTGGTCAAATATACGGTGCGATGCGTAGTGCGTACCCAATTACGGCCCAATTTAGCTCAATAATATGCGGGTTGCGGGTCAGAAAACCAAGACACCATCACAACACCTCACCTTAAATTGCGAGCCGGTATAACCCTTGCTCGCCTTCAGGCGCTTGTAGTTTTCCAGTTTGTTCCAGATTTTCGTCTCGGCGCCCTCGCGAATTGAGCAGGTCATGATGAAGACCACGTCGGCCTCGCTGATGTTCTCGGCTCGCTGGTAGCCGGCCTGCTGCAGCACGGCCCACGCCACCTCCGTATCGTTGACGTTCATCTGGCAGCCGTGCACGACAAACAGCACGCGCCGGCCGAGGCCGTGCTCCAGCTCAGTGGCGCCCAGCGGCACCGGCAGCTCGGCGCCCTCTGGCGGCGGGGCGGCCGGCGCTGCTGAGCCGGCCACGAACTCGGCCAGGCCCGGGCCGTCCGCCGGCAGCCGGCGGCGCCCGGACGGAGCGGCGGTGGAGGCCGCCCGAGCGGTACCGGAGACCAGCGCCCGACACCGGCGCACCAGCAGCCACCGCAGGCCAATGGCAGAGTGCATGGTGGATGAGATGGATGCTTACTGCCCACAGGTCATTGGGGTGATGATGAATAACTACAGGCCTGAAAATGAGAAAGGTGGATGAGAATTCAGAGATTGATATAGCTGAACAGTCCAAGTTCATAGCTCAATAGTGACATTAACATACAATATACCTAGGTACATAACATAATGCTGCTGAGTGAAGAACAAGTTAACTTGAGGGGAGTGTTTCACCATGTAAATCCTCATGGGCTGACACTCAAGTCAATAGTCCATAGCCCTCTCAGTTTCATCATCAGCAAAGTGAGATCAAAATGCATTAAAATCATTAATGTTGTGATCAGATTGTTTCTACAATTTAAACTGTCTCATGAAGCAGTGAATTTCTACTAACAAAGCAATTATCTGAAAGTAAACCATCAATAAAAATCACTCAGGTCCTAGCAACATGCATTTAAATTAGAATATGATGCATTTGTATGTACTAATCCCACAAAAAACAATCACTCTCCATCATGTTTTTGCTGATATTTGAGCTTGATTGTCAGCTAGTAGATAATGGCAGCTGCATCAGTTGGTACTTCAAATTATTGTTTGAATAAAAATGGAGGTTACATTTTCCTTGACATCCCAGTTCCATCCCTCCTGAGAAGCTGCAGGATTTTGCAAAGTAAATGTAAATTCAGAAAAGTAAATAATGCAGAAAAATAATGTCAATAATGTAGAAAAGAACACACTATTAAGACTGAGAAGTTACACAAGACCTGAATACTTACAGTATTGGTATGCTTTTTATATCAAATTACATGGCACTAGCAATTATACCACCCACAAAAACTCGGAGCATTGTACATGGTTTAGGTACCCTTATGCAGGTGGCTGTTCTCCTATGCAAGAAGGTTCTCCTTTTCATCGACGATTGTGTCAATAAATAATAAATATTGTGCTTCTCAAATCTCAGAGGCACCTCAACAACTGTTTGACATCTTTCTGAGTTGATTTACTTATTGCTCAAAAATCTAAATCCAGGCCAAAAGCTTGGTTTTTTATCCAACTATGAGTCTCAGTCTCAGGTGTGCTAAAGCCGATCTTCGCCAAATTTGAGTCTAATATACAGTGCTGAGTGCTGACCAAGGCCGTATGTGCTGACAATGCAGTTTCAATCAAATTTGAAGCTGCATATTTGTATTACACACTGCAATACAATGAAATATGAGTAGTGAATAGTGAATACCTACCTACCCTTCAACTTTGAATTGCCTCAGACTCCAACTGCAACCAAACTCAAACTATTAGCAGACTTACAGTTTGAAGAAGGTTGAAGTACCTGATACCAAGCCTGATACCCTTATTTGGCCTTGATTAGTTGTAAGTTTCAAAAATAATTTAATTATAATCAATAGTTAACATTCTACCTTCATGCTGTTTTAGACATTTTAGAAAGTCTATCAATAGAAGCAAATCAAATAGAAAATTTCGTGACCCACAAACGTATTTACTGCGCCAGATAAGGTACGGTGTGCTTCCAAATCGAAAAAGGGTTTTCCTCTATAAACTGGATAGATGGAGTAGTAAAGTAATCTTGGATAGATGAGTGCTAATACATACATTACAGAGTGCTCTTTCTGTTGTTTCAGATGTTGAACGGAGAAATACAGAGTTGTGGCCTTTGTGGCCAGTAGTTAAGAATGAACGAGTAAGACAGAGAAGACGATAGAGAGAGAGAGAGAGAGAGAGAGAGAGAGAGGGGGTGAACCGGAGAGTGTTACACTCAGGCGACGAGAAGCGACAAGGACAAGATGGGTGACAAAATCAGCAGGTGGTGATGACACAGGCTCAACTTAACCCTCGCCCGTATTGGTGTTTTTCCAGCCGCAAACGTATAAGAGGGGTCCGTTGGACCCCCTCTTGCCGTTTCGACCCGGATCGAGCTAGCTTTCTCACCGTTCGCACCTGACCGAACCCTTCCCACGGCCACGCCCCGACTAGACAGAGTACCTAGACACCCTCCCCTCCCCGGCGGCTGGCGGGGGGGGACGGGTAAGGGTGGGTGGGTGGCCCGTCGGGGACGACAGCTCTGCAGCTCGCTCATGGCCTCGCAGCGGCGGCTTGGCGGACAACTCCGCTCCCCAGGGTGATCCTGCGGCGCCACGAGCCGGCTAAGCCAGTTAGCAGGAGCGTTACAGACCGGCGCGGCGCCTCGTCAGAAGCCGTAGGTGGCACCGTGGGAGGGGCGTGGTCGGGTGTCGCGCCCGAATGCAGTTTCGGGAAGGGAGCATCGTTGCGTCGCAATCGTGACTTTCTAAACTTTTGATTTAAAAAAGATCAAGGCTCAACCTATTGCTGTTGACCTGACCTCGGAGGTCGCCAGTTGACCTGAATGCTGCATGTTATGACAGCCAAACCAACAGACTTTTTTCGGTATTAAATTAGAAGTAAATGCGAAGTGATCGCACACACTATCCCCCCGCTTCGGCGTGGCTGGCACTAGCCTTCCCGGTATGCATTTAAAAGCCCGATGTGATAGACTTGGCACGGATCAATCATTCTTGCAAAAACGGATGTAAGCTTCCTGACGTGATGCACTTATAGACCGCATCTTGAGAAGTTCAGAATTGTATAGGTGCGCCGCAAAATTTTAAAGTTTATTATTTAAGAACAATACCTAATGAATAATCAGGTCTCTCTGTGCATGGGATATGTGCCTAATTCTAGAGGAATCCACATCCGTCAATGCGGATGCCACACATTGTCATAGGTATCGGTCGCCGGATAAATGTCCTTTGCCAAGTGACTCAGCTCCATTGCGCCACGCAGAGTTCCGTACTTTTCCACGGAGTGAATCAGCCTCACTGACAAACACGACGCGCTCGGTGCACGGAACCGGGGAGCTTTCACAGCTCTGCGTCCGCTTCTGACTCACGGCCCGGTCCGTGTCCGTGTCTGCGGCTGCAGACACGGGGGGTGACTGTCCCCCCCCCCCTGCCGATCAGCTGACCGGCCGGGCCGGCCCATCGACCCGGCTGGCCCGCCCGCCGTGCCCGTCCCGAACTGCTCCGGCATGGGTCCGGTCCGGTCCGGTCTGCAGGGCGCTCGGGAGACCGCCCCCGGCCCGGCCACACCCGACCGAGCCGGGCTGGGAAAGTCTGGTCCCACGCCGCTACCTGACCGCTGAGACCGAACGGGTCACTGACTGGCCCGGCCGGGGATTCCAGCGTCTTCGTGCTCGTGAATTTTCAACGTGGATAAAGGGGCGGATGGTCGGAAAGATGTGGACGACTCTGTGGATGATGTCAAGAGAGTCTGTTATTTTTATGTCCGTTAGTTAGTCTGAATGTGTTTAATCACAAACAAACACCTTTCTGGTTCCCACAGACGAAGAACGGGCCACTCAACAAGGAGTGCTGAATGTCGATCAGAGGGCCCGTTGTGGTTTATTTGTGTGGTTTATTTGTTGTTTATTTGAGCGGAGATGTGGTTTGTTTGTGGTACCTACTATTGCAGTTGCACTTCTTTGTTCTTATATGAACCTCCTAGCATCTGATCAATAGACACGGGTGAACCGGGAACTCGGGCGAGGATGACGACGGCGATTCGCGTTAGCCTGCGACTAGTGCTCATCGCACATCCCGATCCGTCTGCTGCATCTCATAAACCGTGCCCTGGCGGGGGCGGGGAGGCCGATTCAACACACTCTGAGGTCCTGAGAGGCTTTCCGCAAGAAGCACCTCCGTTTTTGGCTCATTGTGTGAAAATTTCAGACCGAGGTCATCTAAGGTCAGGTCACCAGATCACGTCAAATAACCTCATATGAAAAATGGTATGAGTGCTCACTAAAGCTATAGGTACCAACTAAAAGATTTGCGTCCGAGTCATCGTAAATCATGTACCAGTGACCCCAACATGAATGAATATGAGGTCATTTCAGGCAAAACTGGTCGCCAGCTTTTTGGCAACAATTATTTTGATAGACATGGCTTAGTGACGAGCATCTAAGGTGCTTTTCATCTCAACAATACGGATCGGCTAATGGACATACAGCGAGACCTCCCGGTCAGTTCATGGGTTTGACTTAGGGTCATATCTAAGAGTTGACTTTTTAGGCCAATTATATCGTTCGACATTTCTCGACGAGAGAAACACCGACCAGCCCCAGCTGGCCGGTGTTTGGTAGTTAACTAATTGGTAGTGGTAGTAGTTTGGTAGTGGCTGGCCAGTGGCCTGGTTTGGTGTAGTTGGAGCGGTAAAACTTATATGCAGCTTTTGTATTAAAAAGTATTGCAAAAAGGCCTTAAACGTCACTTCCTTTTAGTGTTTTTTTTTTTTTTTGCTCTGGGCTTTCGACGCCAAATCATACCTATGCATATTGCATTTTGGCCAAATCTGAAGATAAAAAGAAATAGGATTAAAAGGTCCTCGCATTAGTCGTTTTCACGGCGGGCTAAGTCGGTGAACGCACCGAACTTGGGCAAGTTAAACGAAATCTATTTTACAACAAATATTCTCAAATATCATGAAATTATTTCAATGTTTTGCTCGAAAATAATGCCTGACCAATATCATAATTCATATAATGTTTTACTTAAGGCCATAAGCAACTTATAGTGCAACCCAAGCTGAAAATTACTAGGAATGAACAATATGTAAATGCAATCTGACTATGTAAATCGTACCAAATGTGGCCAGAGGCCTATATTGCCAATAATTGGTCTCTGACCCTCCCCCCCCGTCTCGGATAACACTGGTATGACGCTGCGACCCCGGGGAAGTCATGTTCAGTGTTCCGCATTATGAAAATCTGGGATATCCGTTTTAAAGCGACCATCCCACCTTAACATTAGTTTTGAGTTGAGATAGCCAAAATGGGGTCCCTGGCTTGCACTTACCGGAACTTGAGCACTCACAAGATCGAGAAATGCCTCGAATCGAAAATATCTCATTTCAAAGTTGCAGCACTTGGATTCAGAGGGGCTAATTAATGCATTAGAATGCCCTCTGAATGTGTGACGTCAGCGCAGATCTTAACTATTTTAAATCTTTACGTTTGGTAGCACGCGGTGGTATACATATATGCCGCTTTGCGCGCAACAAGTGCCGCACTTTCAAATAAAGTCGCTAGGAACAGCGGAGATCCCAAAAAGTAAACAAAAGTAAAAGTCTAATATCTTGAAAACTGGTGAATATTTTTCGATGAAATTTGGTAGATATTCGCTTTCGCTCTTTCTGAACCGAGCGACATCACTTTCAAGATTCATGCCAAATCATTAACTTTTTTGAAGGTGCAGGAGGGTCCGTCCTAAAGCGCAAAAGAGACCAATATTGGCACAAGCACGGTCAATCAACTGGTGCAGTCAGGTGCAGTCCGACCACTCCTGCCACGGCATGGGTCCTTCCTTACTCCATAGTCCATAGCGGTAATTCCAAGACAGGGGCGCTAATTTACCGGCAGCTGTCTTTTGCGCTTTATGACGGTCACGTGAAACGGATATCCCAGATTTTCATCATACGAAACACTGAACATGACTCCCCCGGGGTCGCAGCGTCATACCGGTGTTATCCGAGACGCGAGGTCAGGGTGGTCGGTGACCGGTCAAGGCCAGTTGATTCCGGCGGTGTCAAGAGCGGACCACCGACACGACGGTGCGTCGAGCGGTACACGTTTCATCCCGGTGGGACGGGAGAGCTGGGAAGTGGGAACGTCTCCAAATTATGACAATTCGCCCTGTCGCTCAAATTGTCGGATTGGTCCTGAGGCAGCCAGAGATAGATCAAATTTGTTTCCTACAGTGAAAAGGGTTAATACATTTTCCAAATGCTTCTTCGTTGAGTCATTTTCAAAAGATACTTTTGTGCCAAAGTTTGATCTCTATTTACGCCTTTTTAGAGGAGTTTTCTTGAAACCGTGGAAACTCCTAATTGGTCCACATTTGAAGCCATCTCGAGACTCGAACCAAAATGTGATAAGACCGACGGATTGCGGTAGGTGATTGATACGCCCTCCCACCGCCCGGTGACCGGTCCTGGGCGCGCCTCTGTCTGTTTCGCCCGTCGGCCGGTGGTGGCGCCACCATGACCTGGCATCAGCTGACGGGCGGCGCCAGCTGACGCGCCGGTGCGGCCGGCGGAGCGGCCCACGTGGTGGATCCGTGAGGCCGCCGGCCGGGCGGTGGCCGCCGCTCGGCAGTCAGCTGGCGGCGGTCGATGACGGAGGCGCCGGTCTGCCGCCGGCCGCCCCGCCCCGCCCCGCCGCGGCCGCTGCCATTTCCGGCGCGACGTTACGCCGAGGTGACCCCTCCACTGGCCAGCCACCCTCCTCCGAGCTTCGTGAGGTCACGCCGAGCTCTGCCACCACCGACAGGAGGCGGGCCGAAGCAGAGGTCACCGTCACCGCCGCCGGCTGCAGCGTCCATCTCCAGGTCAGTGGCTCAGTCGGTTGTAGTGCTTCTGGTCCCTGACCTAGCTCTGCCCCCACCCCTGGAGTCTGGGG